TATTAACACCGAGCCCGTCCCTGGTGTTACCTGACCTACCCCAGTCTCTGCTGGTGTAATGGTATTACACCGAGCCCGTCCCTTGTGTCACCTGACCTATCCCAGTCTCTGCTGGTGTAATGGTATTAACACCGAGCCCGTCCCTGGTGTCACCTGACCTACCCCAGTCTCTGCTGGTGTAATGGTATTAACACCGAACCCGTCCCTGGTGTTACCTGACCTACCCCAGTCTCTGCTGGTGTAATGGTATTAACACCGAGCCCGTCCCTGGTGTCACCTGACCTACCCCAGTCTCTGCTGGTGTAATGGTATTAACACCGAGCCCGTCCCTGGTGTTACCTGACCTACCCCTGTCTCTGCTGGTGTAATGGTATTAACACCGAATCCGTCCCTGGTGTTACCTGACCTACCCCAGTCTCTGCTGGTGTAATGCTATTAACACCGAGCCCGTCCCTGGTGTCACCTGACCTACCCCAGTCTCTGCTGGTGTAATGGTATTAACACCGAGCCCGTCCCTGGTGTTACCTGACCTACCCCAGTCTCTGCTGGTGTAATGGTATTAACACCGAGCCCCTCCCTGGTGTCACCTGACCTACCCCAGTCTCTGCCGCCTGTGGTCAGGGTCACACCTTTCACAGGACGTCTTGCTTTCAGGCGGGCTGAGTACAGCCGGTTCTTAACGGTGATTTTGAAATTAGCCTTCCTTTTACTTTACAGAATTATCTGCTGGGCAGATTTGAATTCATTGCATCATAGAACTGTTCTGGATATGTAGTCTTGGTGGAATTTTCAAACGTGTGCTAAGCTCGACTGCGATAGTGATTTTGAGTTCCCCACAAGGAACACTCACTTTTGCTTCGGTGTACGTACACATGCTGTTCGTGCATGATGTGAACTTTCATTGTGACCAGATGTTGTATTCAGAAGCAACGCCACGCAACTGTCTACACGTCAACGATAGGGACATTCAAATCGTTAGCTCACTTATATGTATCTATATAGATGGTTCTGGACGTTTCAGTTACGTTTCGCGATATTTTACGACGCTTTAATGAATACTCAGTAGACTTTAGATGGGGAATGTTGAACACGTTGGTTTCACCACACAATATTCCATCTATATGAAATAATCGAGTCTGGATCAGACAATACAGTGATTGACGTCATGAACATCGATCTCCGCACGTTGGACATGCATCAACCAAGTCATCCGAGGGATTCTCCTTACGTGAAGGTCCGGGTTAGAATTGATTTTCATTAACTCATGATTGCCGTAAGAGGCGACAAACGGGACCGGGTGGTCGTATCCCAATTGTGTAGATGGACTGTTGATCACTGGATTGTCTGGTCCAGACTCGATTATTTACAGACCGCCACTATATAACTGGGATATTGCTGAGTGCGGCGTAAAACTGAACTCACTCACTCATTACGGCTACATAGCCTGCCCGAAAAGATCCTATTATTTTGGGTATATGTCACGTAAGTAAGTAAAGGTTGGGAAACATATTCGAGACCTCATCTGACAGCTCCCCACAACAGGTTTCACTGAAATTGATCCCCGAGAAGCTGACCAAGTTGATCTGCAGTTCCTGCAGCTGTGTGGGGAGAGCTTTGAATGTCGGTAACCTTTCTGATATAGTAGGTAAGGTCTTAATTAACCAGCCTGCAGCAGTTGTCTTTGATATGTCCTTACCTGCAGCGGTATTACAGGGCATATAATGCCGCGATGTATGACATTAGAGACCCAGTAGTCTGCTAGGACTCGTCACGATATGGCTGAGATATTGCCGATGTGACGTTAATATTAACTCACTCACTCACTGCTAGGAGAGTCAACACGTCAGCCTGGAGTAGAATGCTGTCTGACCTGATTTCCCTACCGGCGTGTGAGTGGGTGAGTGAAGATCCTATACTCGTTGCTTTAGAAAGCAAAAGGGCAGTCGTCTTACAACGGTTCACGGAACGTGTGAAACATGGCTCTTGGGGAAACTGTTATGTCACCTCTATGGAACTAAGTCGATTCAGAACTGGATGGGCGCCCATAGAGTGTCATTCAAACTGGAACATCGAACCTAAGGCTTTCTGTCCCTCTTGCAACTCTGATGTTTTTAGATGTGTAAAGATAAAACAAACTGTGACTTGAAAGACACTGGGAATTTCTGGTGTTTTTTCTAACCAAAACTCAGCCAGGAAAGAAGTATTCCCGATTTACACTTGAGGAGGAGCTAAAGTGCGATACTATGTCCCACACGACATCTTCTTACTTAACTGACAGTGAAGATGACGTCAGTCTGTTGAGAAATCTAAATAAAAGGTATCAGACGGAAGTTTGTTCACTATAATATCAAATATCTACTGTCGGACCTTATGAGCTGACAATTATTACTTCTTTGCCAAAGTTTCTGTTATGATGAAATTAATCTGTCTTGAGAATTACTTAATGAACCAGCAATATGACGTTCAGTGGGTTATGATCACAGCATGGATTAACCTGATCATGCCTGGTGGTGTTGCTGACGTCCAGTCATAAGCGTTTTATCTTTATGGCTGGCTTTAGGAGTTCAACCCTTTTGGCTGCGAGTACTAGATCAGTTCATATTCAGGTTTTCTACACTTTCCAAAGGTCACAGACCCCTTGTTTTGTACCGACTTGTCGAAGCAAAACAATTTGCTCAGTTAACTCGGCTTGTAAAGGGTATACCTCTATCATATAAACTCCATGACAAAAGATCACACTATAATTCAATGCCTTCTATGTGACGCTAACTTTGGCGGTCGCTCTGTCTCTGGCGTGAACTTTTGAGAACATGCCAAGAGCATATCCTTCGTTGGCCGATGTCCGTATACCTCCTTCTCTTTGGAGCAAATCGGTGACGACCTAGGCACTATGTAATCTTGCAGTTCAAAAGTTATGCCAATAATTCGTACGAAAGGGACAACGAAAGGGACGACAGCCTATCACCCAGCTCGCCGCTGTCCTCTTGGCATCACTGAATCGGAGGCAACGGCTTGAATCGTCTGTACACATAGTATGTTCGTACAAGCGCACAGTTCGTCCTTGATGTAGCCTTGAACACCGTAATTTTTCAGTGAGTGAGCGAGTGAGTTTTACGCCGCTTATAGCAATATTTCAGCAATATCACGGCGGGGGACACCAAAAATGGGCTCCACACATTGTACCCATGCAGTTAATCGAGCACGGGTCATTCGGCATGACGAACGAACACTTTAACGACTATGCTACCCCACAAGTTTTTAGACCAACGACAGACGTCAAATGTACCTTCCTGTTGTCATTGTATGGATTTCAGTAATGTATTGTGACACTTTTGTTAAGTGTCCGTTTTTTTAAGGCCTGCAGCGACCAGATCTCATTGAAACCCCGTTTAACGCTACTGAGTCCACTGTCAAGAAATTGCACTTTTTGATTGGCTAACGATTCTGGAAACTTGAGATAATACTAGAGGCGTGAACACTTTGGATTCAGCATCCAGCTTCATCACATGGTGTTCATGCCAAATGTGAAATTTCACTGTGATATGTTGCACTTAGATGTAACCCAACAGTATTGTACACCCCAAGATTGCTACATTTAAATCGTAGGTTCCTTTTTGTTGGTAGTGTATTGGGCCTCCAAAAGGGTTCATCATACATCTGTCAGTTCATTATACATCTGTCAGTTCATTATACATGTCAGTTCATCATACATCTGTCAGTTCATCATACGTCTGTCAGTTCATCATACGTCTGTCAGTTCATCATACATCTGTCAGTTCATCATACATCTGTCAGTTCATCATACATATGTCAGTTCATCATACATCTGTCAGTTCATCATACATCTGTCAGTTCATCATACATCTGTCAGTTCATCATACATCTGTCAGTTCATCATACATCTGTCAGTCATCATCATACATCTGTCAGTTCATCATTATACATCTGTCAGTTCATCATACATCTGTCAGTTCATCATACATCTGTCAGTTCATCATACATCTGTCAGTTCATCATACATCTGTCAGTTCATCATACATCTGTCAGTTCATCATACATCTGTCAGTTCATTATACATCTGTCAGTTCATTATACATCTGTCAGTTCATCATACATCTGTCAGTTCATTATACATACATCTGTCAGTTCATTATACATCTGTCAGTTCATCATACATCTGTCAGTTCATCATACATCTGTCAGTTCATCATACATCTGATCTTTTTCATCATCACATCTGTCAGTTCATCATACATCTGTCAGTTCATCATACATCATCATACATCTGTCAGTTCATCATACATCTGTCAGTTCATCATACATCTGTCAGTTCATTATACGTCAGTTCATTATACATCTGTCAGTTCATCATACATCTGTCAGTTCATTATACATCTGTCAGTTCATCATACATCTGTCAGTTCATCATACATCTGTCAGTTCATTATACATCTGTCAGTTCATTATCATTATACATCTGTCAGTTCATTATACATCTGTCAGTTCATCATACATCTGTCAGTTCATCATACATCTGTCAGTTCATCATACATCTGTCAGTTCATCATACATCTGTCAGTTCATCATACATCTGTCAGTTCATCATACATCTGTCAGTTCATCATACATCTGTCAGTTCATCATACATCTGTCAGTTCATTATACATCTGTCAGTTCATTATACATCTGTCAGTTCATTATACACATGTCAGTTCATCATACATCTGTCAGTTCATTATACATATGTCAGTTCATCATACATCTGTCAGTTCATCATACATCTGTCAGTTCATTATACATGTCAGTTCATCATACATCTGTCAGTTCATTATACATCTGTCAGTTCATTATACATATGTCAGTTCATCATACATCTGTCAGTTCATTATACATCTGTCAGTTCATTATACATCTGTCAGTTCATCATACGTGTGTTCAGTATTAATGTAGTTGACTGTATTGGCATTTCTGCGAAAACACAACACAACAGAGAACTCGATTCAAGCACTGTTTAATATAGATACAAAACTGTTCTCTTCTAGCTTTCCTTCAGCCTGCAACCACTCTGTGACAAACTCACCACACAACAGTCAGACATGTAGGTGTACCCTCTCAGTCAGACAACTAGGTGTAATCGCTCAGTCAGACAGCTAGGTGTACCCTCTCAGTCAGACAGCTAAGTGTACCCTCTCAGTCAGACAACTAGGTGTAATCTCTCAGTCAGACAGCTAGGTGTAATCGCTCAGTCAGACAGCTAGGTGTACCCTCTCAGTCAGACAGCTAAGTATACCCTCTCAGTCAGACAGCTAGGTGTACCCTCTCAGTCAGATAGCTAGGTGTACCCTCTCAGTCAGACAGCTAGGTGTAATCTCTCAGTCAGACAGCTAGGTGTACCCTCTCAGTCAGACAGCTAGGTGTAATCTCTCAGTCAGACACAGATACACTACAGAGACTCTGGATATGTACAGACACTTTCACTGCACACAGCAGGTGGGGAACAGTGGACTGTGCTCTAGTTACCTCACTCTACCAGGCTTAGGTCTAAGAAAGTTATTAAACAACTTTGAAAGAACTTGGCAGGTACTTAATACAATTATTCTTTCACTAATATGAAGAAATAAGTGCCTAAAGTAAGGAGATGCTGTTTCATTATCAAATGCCACCAAGATCATAATATATGAAGATGTGGACATAATGTCGATTCATTGGGGGTAAACCCTCACAAGTGAGGTCTACCCAACACTAAGTGTTAGTAACGAACACTGTACACATAGTACCAAAAGATCTTAAATTTCAAGAACACTTGGTGTCAGACTATAACCCAATAGCTTTTGAGCTGTAATCCAAGCGCACAGTTGCGTTCCTCAAGAAGCCAGATGCAGCACCCGGTGCATTATATCCCAGGTGCATCCCCAGCGGTTGGTGTACAGGAAGTAGCTAGGAAGCCCGGAAAGAACATAGTGACCATGTGCCCTGGTATGTCACATACAAACATTATGCTAAATAAGTCATCAACAATTCCTGATAGTGGAGACAAGTGAACAAATCATGAACAAAGCAATGCAACATAACAACAACGTTTGTCATTCACTGTCAGATGTTAAACCTATGATAAACTGTGAGATTAATGTTTGTAAGAAACTCTTCTATCTGTGGTGCAGGAAAGACCAAGACATCCAACCGGACATTCGTTCAACTAACCATGATTGCAAATGAGTCAGATGACAATGCAGCTTTACATGCAACTCTTATTAATCACATCACAATAAAGAAATATCAAATATATTATTTTTTCACTTCAATTTTCCACAATCAACAATGCTTGGAATAGTATTTCCAAGAAAACATATATAAAAAGTCAAAAGAGTCCATTACAAAAATAAACATAAGTTTCTTCAGCTGAACCCAACTGAGAATGAGGGAGGATGTCACAATGGGCAAATGGCACCTGGAGAATTCGGTAAGGCATGTTAGGGAATTCTCTATGTTACAACAGATACGGATTACAAGCTATGGGTGAAGGATATGGATTTCAAGCTAAGCTTAAAAGATATGGATTTTTAACTAAGTTCAAAAGATACAAATTAGAAGCTGAGGTTAAAGAATATGGATTTCAAGCCAAGGTTTATGATATGGATTTCAAGCACAAGCAATGAATGCAAAAGATATTCAAATAGTCGTTAGGTAAATACAATACTTAAAACAACAATTTCCAAACTTGGCAGGATAATGAGTAGAAATACTGCAGTATCAGGATTTGGCAACAGGTTGCAACCATAATAGGTTGCCTTAGCACAAGGACAGTGTGATGTCCAGATTGACCGGACAAGTGTACAGCCACCATATAATACCCTTCACTTCTGTAGAACTTAAACGTATTCTGAAAATATTTAAAAATCACTATATCATGAAAATATTATATTGATATCATATTAGAGTATAATGGACACCTTATCATTTTAAGTCGACACCAATGGATGTGCAGACAACAAAACATTGTAAACTGATGTCTGTGTGTCAGTAGAGAACCAATCCACTGTATCACTCAGCTCAATATTGCATGGCACAGATCTGTTATTTTTCATACTAAACATACCCAACCTGTTTTATAATGACTTGTTAGTATGGACGTGGTTGCTACAGCAACCTGACAAAATATCAGTATGACAATTACCACACAGAAAGTACACTCAGTAGATACCAGTAACCAATACCGGGATGATCTTCTGCTGTTAACCTGACTTTTGGTTTATTCCAGGTCACGGAGGCTGATCAGAAGCCCAGGTAAACACATTTATAATCAGAATGAGATCGGCAGCAAGCCTAGGGATCACTACTGGAGCAAGAACATAGACCTGACAGCCTATGCAGTGGTTTGTTGACAGCAAATTTCACGCAATCTGATGATATGTGGTGGGGATAATACTTTCTACATAACTACCCATCATCGTAATACTTTCCTTACAACACTAAAGAAAACTGAGGTTTGAATTGACTAACGGAAGTTGCATACATGATGTGTGTAACACAACGCCTGTCCTCAGCATCACTTGTCTGTGATTCTTGTACAGACATGGTGTTACAAACATTGCCGGTGTAGTCAAGGGAGGTAACTCTCAACGTCTACGGGGAGCGTTGTGTAACTGGGGGTCTGACCCTACAGGAACTAAGCCAAGGGAATCTCTCCACACAAAATATAACATCAAATATTCTAAACATTTGCAAATACAAATTTGTGATATATTTTACATGGTATATAACTTCAACAAATTGTCACCAAGTTAAAATAAAAATATTTTGCTGTTTAAGCTGACAAAATAATGTAACCAAATATAATGTAAAGATAAGGTCACTTAACGCATGTCATGTGTAACTTAAATTACACACAAAATTCCTGATCACTGAAGAAAACTCCAGAATTCCAAATTTACAAACATAATTAATTCTTACAACCACATGATAAAGGTGACTGTTGCAAAATGAATATAGTCTGTTGGTCAACATTTGTAATTTACAAACGGAACAAAGCACCACGATCTAGGAACCACTTACATGTAACGCTATAGATGTCGGAATTAGCGCCATGTGTGGAAGTTGGGCCACTTCCCTGTGTAATTACTCGCCTCCCCACCAATATACACCATACACATTTGAGAAAGAAGTCAAAGCCTTGCCATGACTTGGAGAACGTTTGTCTGATATACCAGTACGTGATGCACAATGTCTGACAAGTGTTATACTTAACCGTCTCCCTGCTCAGTTCCCAATCACACACTCCCTGTAAACTCACTGATGGTATCCTCCTTGACACTGCATAGTAACAGAAGCTAAAGGGTTAACAGGAAACACAAACAGCAAAACCTATTCTGAAGAATAACTGATGCAACACAAATAACGTACAAAAATAGCACATGACATGGATTCATAATTACACACAGGTTGGCTTTTACTTATATATATAGAACTGTACAATGGATTTCTTCCCTATACATATGTAAGCTGAAAAATGCAGCTTATAATTTAAAAACAATTTTAAAACAATCATCTGCCATCAGCATGCATGTCTCCTATATCACCGAGTTCCCTTCTGATTTCCTTAAAGACCTGTTCAGTAGCATTACACAAGAGTAACACCTCCTGACCTTATTCATCTGTAACTGTTATAATAACTACTATACTAGAATACTAGATTCCATACTAGAATACTATATTCTTTACTGCTATCCTAGCTTCTTTACTCGTATACTATACTTCTATACAGAATTTCATATAATAATGTAAACAATTTGACCTTTCGAAAGCAGATTCATTCTGAAATATTTGAAGTATCTGTTTGTCTGTCAATCAGTTCTCTCCTGGTGTTTGTTTACATATGTACATACATACAAACAAAAACAATGATTATGAACAGAAATGTATAAAGCTTTTGACTTAAGTTGGCCAGAATAAGTACATCAATCATGACTATTGAACCCAAACATATTTCTTTACAGACAAGGTATATACTCGATGACATAACAAGGCCATATATCCAGGGTTCATCAACCTACACTATAGTGCTATATGGCTGGCCATATACCCAAGCGGTATATAGCAATACTGTATACCAAGGCCATATAACAATGTGTGACATGATGGTTATATTCTTGAAGATGTTAGAACATGAGCTCTAGCTGTCTATCCTCACACACATCACTAACAACTTAGTGGTGTATATATCCTTATAAACACTGCTCGCTGGATAATCAGCCAATCATTGGTAACAAGAGGATGAAATTATGTTCAAACATTTTCATAAATTTGCTCCAATTTATCACAATGATCAAAACCAGAATATTTACCCGGTCTGATCTTTGTGTCCTCAAACGTGAAGTTGATTGGAAATGTATCTATATTGGCCTACAGGTCAGTTCTAGTGTAAAAACAATCACCGGCTAACTGAAAGCAACCCTAGTGGAAGGCGGAACCATGAGGCGTGATAGCTCACATGCTGTGGTGACATCATCAATGTAGAAATATAGCAACTCAAACAAATACAATTATATATGCCAATAAATATCTAAAATAATCTATGAAGGTATCGTTGACAACTGGATGGTTCATATCATGTTTTCATCATCCATTGGATGACAAATATGAATGAAAATGACAAAAAATAATCTTAAAATATGTGAGTCCCAAGACTCCAGCATGGATTGTTGACATATTTTACACAATACTTATATTCTCCACTGAGAGGTGTAGCTGATTTAAAATCAACATACTCTACTCACTGGTTTATGCTAAGAAATATATGTAATGGTTATGATGATGATGATGATGATGATGATGATGATGATGATGATGTTGATGATGATGACTAAAATGCTCTATAAGTCACTCGTTCATCATGTACAACTTTCAGTCATCTACATAAGTATAAAAGTAGACAATGGATACTCCCAGGTGATGCATGGCTGTGTCTGTACTGTCATCACTCTCATACACACTGTCCATTACAACATATACCATGGAGAGGCCACAAGGTTTCATTCTAACTGTCCACATATGTCACAGAGCCTCCATATACGTCACAGAGCCTCCACATACGTCACAGAGCCTCCATATACGTCACAGAGCCTCCACATACTTCACAGAGCCTCCAGATACGTCACAGAGCCTCCACATACTTCACAGAGCCTCCACATACGTCACAGAGCCTCCACATACGTCACAGAGCCTCCACATACGTCACAGAGCCTCCACATACGTCACAGAGCCTCCATATACTTCACAGAGCCTCCACATACGTCACAGAGCCTCCACATACTTCACAGAGCCTCCACATGCGTCCACAGAGCCTCCACATACGTCACAGAGCCTCCATGATACGTCCACAGAGCCTCCACATACGTCACAGAGCCTCCACATACGTCACAGAGCCTCCACATACGTCACAGAGCCTCCACATACGTCACAGAGCCTCCACATACGTCACAGAGCCTCCACATACGTCACAGAGCCTCCACATACGTCACAGAGCCTCCAGATACGTCACAGAGCCTTCACATACGTCACAGAGCCTCCACATACGTCACAGAGCCTCCACATACGTCACAGAGCCTCCACATACGTCACAGAGCCTCCAGATATGTCACAGAGCCTCCACATACGTCACAGAGCCTCCACATACGTCACAGAGCCTTCACATACGTCACAGAGCCTCCACATACGTCACAGAGCCTCCACATACGTCACAGAGCCTCCAGATACGTCACAGAGCCTCCACATACGTCACAGAGCCTCCAGATCGTCACAGAGCCTCCACATCGTCCACAGAGCCTCCAGATCACGTCACAGAGCCTCCACATACGTCACAGAGCCTCCACATACGTCACAGAGCCTCCACATACGTCACAGAGCCTCCACATACGTCACAGAGCCTCCACATACGTCACAGAGCCTCCACATACGTCACAGAGCCTCCACATACGTCACAGAGCCTCCACATACGTCACAGAGTGTCAACATACACCACAGGGAGTCCATGAAGCTCTAAGTGTACATGAAACCAACAATGTAGTCTCTTTCACGCACTCACTATCACAATCATATTGTTGATTGGTTGAGCAAGCACCTGCAAACATTTTTATGGCACTTCACTAACTTGCTTCATCTAGTTAGGAGGCACACACTTCAATTATTTGCTATTTTGTTGTCCCTTCAACCCTTCAAGCCAAACAACAGACACATGGTTGTGCATCTAGCCATACAAAAGGCAGGCAGTTGTCTGTCTGGCCATACAGCTAAGCTCAAACTGAAGACACAAACACATCTTGTCTAATGGACACAAAATATAACAGAAACAATTCACAGCTCTAAAGCTCCACTCATCCATGGTTGCCACAACATTGTTGCCCTATTATCAGGCATTACCACAGATTTTAGGCTCCCCTCAACTGTTACTCTTCAAGCTGAGTTCCGACAGACTCCTTGTATCATCTACCTCCCACACTTCTCAAAACACAACAGCATTTGATTATATATGAAAACACACCAATGGCTGTCAGCGTATTCACTAGCAGACACGGATGAACCAGGGCAATGACAAACACACATGTCCAGCTTCCGTGGAGAATTCTGTCCCGATCACAGCCCTCTGTACAGCGTGCATCAAGCAGTCACAACAAGGCAAATACATCTTCTCCATTCAACTTGTATGAATGTTTCATTCTAAATAGGTTGTGGGTTGTCGTCCGTGATTCTTTTATCTGGTCCATATATTGACGTGGTGATGTCCCAGATTGCAACAGGCATCCATCCACACCAACACATACATAAAGCACTTATTGTTTCTTCAACTGACGGTAATCAACAACAATAACAATATATTTGTTTAAATATGGAAAGAAAAATAAATAGTCATCATAAACATTGATATATAAATAGGATCTTTCATCAATGTCAAAGGTTCGGTTTTGTTGTATTTCAAAATCGAACCCACACAACAACACAGACAGAACAAAAGTTTAAGAAATCTGAATCAGTTAAAGCTTTCAAACCCGAAAGGCCACAGCAACAGGAAGCAAATTATCAAAGAATTAGGTTCAACTAAGTAAATTAGCACCATTTATAATGCAGCCATGCCATTTGTTAGCATAAAATCCATTGATTCGAAGAATTCATCCAGGAACAAGAACAAAACTGAAATCATTAACATACAATGGTTTCCAAGTCCTCCATCTTACAGAGATTCCACACACATCGTGAGTATCTGAATCCTCCTCAGCCTGTCAGTGTTGGAGGTGCCAACAGTTTGCTGTCTTCAACATGATACATCCTTAACAAATTAGCGGTAGAGCCTTGAGACGAACTGAACCAAACGTTCTTGGAAGGATGGTTTTGCATGTTTTACACATTTTTTAGGTCTTCATGAAGTGTAACCCAAGGGCTTCCAGACATTATGATGTCAAAGTTTTATTCCCTACTTGCACACAACATATTGGTGTTTTAATACTAGTTATAGTATAAATCCCATTCAATGACAGCCTTGTATTGGCAGCTGACCACCTGGCTGGATGATCACAGTAGACAAACCTGGCATTTACAAGAATTGTATGGTGAAGGCTGGAAGGATGGGTTTATATTTGATTGGTGGATGGATTTCAGGTAATCCAGGAGATTCTACTCCAGCTGCAATTTGTTGGTATTGCTTGGATGGATACAAGATGTGCTGTTATATTGGCATGTGAACCTGGTTGTAAAAGTCAGGTTCATCCTCATCATCATCAGACTCGTCCTCTTCTTTATCCAACTGGAACAACAAGAGAGAACAGTGATAATGTTGGCCGACAAGTTCAAAACAGAGTCAGTGGGCTGAGTGAACCCACCCCAGTAATATTACAGCCACCTTGTGATGCAGGATAGGACTTCTTACACGGTGACCTTGTGTAACATCGTAGCATCTACAGCTGTGGGAGTCAGTGAGTATGGTTTTACCACACCTTTAGCAATATTCCAGCAATATCACAGCGAGGGACACCAAAAATGGGCTTCACATATTGTACCCATGTGGGGAATCAAACCTGGGATTTCGGTGTGAAGAGCCAACGCTTTAACCACTAGGCTACCCCACCACCCCTACAGCTGTGGCAGGAGACAGAGGAGAACCTGTTTTCACTGTTGAGGGCACCTCTGTTGTAGATTCAGTGCTCATTATTCTTTATTTGATACAGGATGCTCTCTTTACGGATCAATATGAAACACAGTAATGTATTCAAACATATTTTTGTGCAAGAAGGCTATATTAAGAGGTATGAAAAGAAATTTAAGCAGTGAAGCATTATTCAGTGTCATGGTAGAAGTCATGATAATGTGGCATACCTCGTGTAGCTCCTGTTTGTTGAAGAAACGACTCATGATCTGAAGACGCAGCGGTATCAGCAACAGGAGGACGAATGGGAAGGCGAGAGCACCCTGAGTGGACTTGATGACCCACAGGATGACCAGACACACAAGCTGGATAACGGTGAAGATGTGCATCTTCAGGGTCCGCACCTAGAACACAGAATAGTTAAACCATCAGCCTCCATCACTTTTTAAGTCTGCTGCACCTAGAACTCAACAATAGTTAAACCATCAGCCTCCCTCACAAAGTCCTAGAACACAGTTATATATAGCTAAAGCCATCAATCTCTGTTACCGAGTCCGCCATTAGAATCAATAATAACAGGCATTAGTCTATAATACAACTTCCGGACCTCGAACGCATCAATAACAAGTGTTTGCCACTGATATGGCAATGTCCCCCGCCGCTAAAGAAAGGAATATCTATATTTACTACTTTTTATTTTTATGTCACATACAAGATGCCTGAAATGACTGGTGTCTGCATAATCACCCAATGTAGGCTGTCAACATAACTGAAAACACTGGGTGCAATGTTTTATGAGATATCACGTTTAAATAAGTTTGAAAAGTGTTCAAAGTGTCATGGTGGCCTTGAAAATAAGGTCACGGTCACAAAAATGAAGTGGTGTCTGTGTAATCCCCCAATGAAGGCTGTCACCAAATTTGAAGACATTGGGTACAACAGTTAATGAGATATCTTGTTAACAAGAGTTTCAAAACTGGTCAAAGTGTCGTGGTGACCTTAAAATAAGGTCAAGATCACCCAAGTCGAGTAGTGTCTGGGTAATCCCCCAATGTAGGCTGTCACCAAATTTGAAGACATTGGGTACAACAGTTCATGAGATATCTCGTTAACAAGAGTTTGAAAAGTGGTCAAAGTGTCGTGGTGACCTTGAAAATACCGTCAAGGTCACCCAAATTTACTGGTGTCTGCGTTATCCCCCAATGTAGGCTGTCACCAAATTTGAAGACATTGGGTACAACAGTTCATGAGATATCGCGTTAACAAGAATCGGGACGTACGGAACTACGGACACCGCTGAATACATAGTCCCCGTTCCGCGTTGCGGCGGGGGACAATTAATGGCATTAGTCTACATTACAAATTTCTGGACCTCGAACACAGCAATAGTTAAACCATTAGTCTACATTACAAATTTCTGGACCTCGAAACACAGCAATAGTTAAACCATTAGTCTACATTACAACGTCCGGACCTCGAACACAGAAATAGTTAAACCATTAGTCTATATTACAACTTCCGGACCTCGAACACAGAAATAGTTAAACCATTAGTCTATATTACAACTTCTGGACCTCGAACACAGAAATGGTTAAACCATTAATCTATATTACAACGTTCGTACCTCAAAGACAGAAATAGTTAAACCATTAGTCTACATTACAACTTCTGGACCTCAAACACACCAATAGTTAAACCATTAGTCTACATTACAACGTTCATACCTCAAACACAGCAATAGTTAAACCATTAGTCTACATTACAACTTCTGGACCTCGAACACAGCAATAGTTAAACCATTAGTCTACATTACAACTTCTGGACCTCGAACACAGCAATAGTTAAACCATTAGTCTATATTACACTTCCGGACCTTGAACACAGCAATAGTTAAACCATTAGTCTATATTACAACTTCTGGACCTCGAACACAGAAATAGTTAAACCATTAGTCTACATTACAACTTCTGGACCTCGAACACAGAAATAGTTAAACCATTAGTCTATATTACAATGTTCGTACTACAAAGACAGAAATAGTTAAACCATTAGTCTACATTACAACTTCCTGACCTCGAACACAGAAATAGTTAAACCATTAGTCTACATTACAACTTCTGGACCTCGAACACACCAATAGTTAAACCATTAGTCTATATTACAACGTTCGTACCTCGAACACAGCAATAGTTAAACCATTAGTCTATATTACACTTCCGGACTTCGAACACAGCAATAGTTAAACCATTAGTCTATATTACAACTTCTGGACCTCGAACACAGAAATAGTTAAACCTTTAGTCTACATTACAACTTCTGGACCTCGAACACAGAAATAGTTAAACCATTAGTCTATATTACAATGTTCGTACTACAAAGACAGAAATAGTTAAACCATTAGTCTACATTACAACTTCCAGACCTCGAACACAGCAATAGTTAAACCATTAGTCTACATTACAACTTCTGGACCTCGAACACAGCAATAGTTAAACCATTAGTCTATATTACAACTTCCGGACCTCGAACACAGCAATAGTTAAACCATTAGTCTATATTACAACCTCTGGATCTCGAACACAGCAATAAATAGTTAAACCATTAGTCTATATTACAACTTCCAGACCTCGAACACAGAAATAGTTAAACCATTAGTCTACATTACAACTTCTGGACCTCAAACACAGCAATAGTTAAACCATTAGTCTACATTACAACGTTCATACCTCAAAGACAGAAATAGTTAAACCATTAGTTTATATCACTGAGTCCACAGCCAGAATACACAGCAATAGTAAAACTCTAGTCACCATCACAGAGTGCCCATCCATCACCAAACATCCCTGATTCCAATGATTATTTTGCACAAAACTCTGCTTCTACTATTCCCTGCCTTCAAAATTATGGAAATCACTACAAATGTCCAGACATGTTATGGGGAGCGGTGGGCGAGCTGGCTAAGTCACCAGGCTAGTGATCCAGCGAGGTTGAGGTGTCGGGATCAAGCACACCTGTGACCGGGTGTAAAAACCTTGGATTCAACTTTGTGTGCAGACTCTTTCAGTGTTGTCACAACCCCTAGTGTACAGTACACAACCCTGTGCACTTAAAAGAACCCATGAATCCGTTGGTATATGACCAGATGCTGGCCAGATGAATACGTGCAAACACCTAGTTGCGGGCACAGCAACGTGCAGTGAACTTGGACAAAGTACTGTGACTATGTGTCCCAGTCCACCCAGCTGTGAATGGGTACCTCGTTAGGATGAGAAAGCCACAATAACTCGGTGCGCCAAGAGTTGTATACTCCCCAGGGAGTTGAGATTGATAACACAATGTACCGTTGAAACTGACATCCAATGATCAAGGGAAAAAATACCAGCGCCTTGAGCAAGCACTAGTTGCCTGGATATGTGCGCTATATAAATATCATATAATAACATAATAACATAATAATAATAACATACTCACCCTGCGCACAAAGCCAAACTCTGGATGATGCTTGACTGGCATGAAGAGCAGTTTGATCCTCTGGAAGAACTGCACACCATTGAGGGAGGACACCCCCAAATAGAGGAATACCCCAAAAAGGACGGCCACAGGGATAGCTCGCAGCAGGGGTCCCATGAACAGGGTAACACCTGTAACCATGGAACATAAGTACAGTGAGAACCCCTCAAAACCCACACACATCAATTTGAATTCGTTAAATGGAATTTGCCGAAAATTGTGTAGAGAATGCAGGTAGTTTTCAGTTTTCAACTTTTAGGGATTTTCACAATGATTTATCAGTTGAATCAACCTGCCTCTGTCACCGAGAAACACCAGAAGGACAAAGACGAATGCATACTGTACCCAAGTGCTAATTCAGCTCTACTGGAATACCCAGAAAATTGACAACATCTATATTGCTATGCTCACCTATAAGTAAGCTGACCATGACATTGGTAAGTCTCTGCTCAATAACATACAGCAGCTTGGGCTTCTCTCCAGGGGCGTGTGTGCTGGAGAAGACACTGAGGGCGGATGTGTGAGCAACAGTGCGAACTGTGGCAGCGCACATCCAAGGCAGTCCAAGCAGGCCACACACAAATGTTAGCACGCCCATGATAAACTGATCCAAGTGGAATCCGCGCCCCTTCCTCAGCTTTCTGTCTTTCTTATTAAGGATGACCCTAAAATTGTGAACAATGTGAACTGTTTCATTTTTAAACAAGATGAATAACTTGCACAGGCACAGAGAAATGTTGGTTTCATGTTCAAGGATATCTTTCACATATCACCTGATGACTAACTGCAGGTTTTCAGTATGTTCAGAGTGCACCTTGTTCAAACCCTTAAAGAGCACAGTTTTAGAAAATTAGCATTAAAGAGACATTTTCCAACATTAACAGAATAATAGTGGTTTTAACCAAATTGAGAGAGCTTGACATAAAAGGAAAAGTTTTAAGATTCATTACGTGTTCATAACTGAAATATCATCAATAGTAATTTAAAACCAACTTGAGAGAACTCGACATAAAGAAAAGGTTTCAAGATTAATTTTGTGTTAATAACTGAATTATCTTCAAAATATATCTATGAGTCCTAATTTTCAAGATTTCAAGGTCACAATCATTAAAAGGTCAGCATCACAAGACAGCTATACATCTGTGTGTGTAGTCTGTGTGTAGTCTGTGTGTAGCGTGTGTGCAACTTTGACTCACTCAGTGAGCTGTATCTCCATGAAAAGCAAGATGAAGATGAGGAAGGCAGGGATTATGGCTGCAAACACCATCCATACTTCCATGTTATTCTTGCTCCCCATCGGGTTGACAAACCAGCCATACCGCTTCTTGGATGTGGGACTGAGAGAATCCTGGATTTCCAGTTTCTGTAAACATTCATTGAACAGTTGAGTCAAAGTATAACTGTAATGAATCTCATCAAGATACAAATTCAACACTGAAAATCATCAATGGTATGGATGCCTGATTTAAGCAAGAGATTAAAATGAGGTTATTGGTATTGAGAAGGTGCCTGACGTACCCCAGAGTGAGTGAGTGTAGTTTTACGCAGCACTCAGCAATATTCCAGCTATATGGCGGCGGTCTGTAAATAATCAAGTCTGGACCAGACAATCCAGTGATCAACAGCATGAGCATCGTTCTGCACATCTGGGAACCGATAACATGTGTCAACCAAGTCAGCGAGCCTTAACACCCGATCCCATTAGTCGCTTCTTACAACAAGCATGGGTTATTGAAGATCAATATTCTACCCTGGGCATTCACGGGTAACCTACTTCAGAATCCCCACCAGGTACACAAGCATGGTGTACAGGGTGGCTGATGTGTCCCAGAATACCCACCAGGTACACAAGCATGGTGTACAGGGTGACTGATGTGCCACAGAATCCCCACCAGGTACACAAGCATGGTGTACAGGGTGACTGATGTGCCCCAGAATCCCCACCAGGTACACAGGCATGGTGTACAGGGTGACTGATGTGCCCCAGAATCCCCACCAGGTACACAAGCATGGTGTACAGGGTGACTGATGTGTCCCAGAATCCCCACCAGGTACACAAGCATGGTGTACAGGGTGACTGATGTGTCCCAGAATCCCCACCAGGTACACAAGCATGGTGTACAGGGTGACTGATGTGTCCCAGAATCCCCACCAGGTACACAAGCATGGTGGTGTACAGGGTGACTGATGTGTGCCCCAGAATCCCCACCAGGTACACAAGCATGGTGTACAGGGTGACTGATGTGCCCCAGAATCCCCACCAGGTACACAAGCATGGTGTACAGGGTGACTGATGTGCCCAGAATCCCCACCAGGTACACAAGCATGGTGTACAGGGTGACTGATGTGCCCCAGAATCCCCACCAGGTACACAAGCATGGTGTACAGGGTGACTGATGTGTCCCAGAATCTCCACCAGGTACACAAGCATGGTGTACAGGGTGACTGATGTGTCCCAGAAACTGCACCAGGTACACAAGCATGGTGTACAGGGTTACTGATGTGTCCCAGAATCTCCACCAGAGTACACAAGCATGGTGTACAGGGTGACTGATGTGCCCCAGAATCCCCACCAGGTACACAAACATGGTGTACAGGGTGACTGATGTGCCCCAGAATCTCCACCTGGGACACAAGCATGGTGTACAGGGTGACTGATGTGCCCCAGAATCCCCACCAGGTACACAGGCATGGTGTACAGGGTGACTGATGTGCCCCAGAATCCCCACCAGGTACACAAGCATGGTGTACAGGGTGACTGATGTGCCCCAGAATCCCCACCAGGTACACAAGCATGGTGTACAGAGTGGCTGATGTGCCCCAGAATCTCCACCAGAGTACACAAGCATGGTGTACAGGGTGACTGATGTGCCCCAGAATACCCACCAGGTACACAAGCATGGTGTACAGGGTGGCTGATGTGCCCCAGAATCCCCACCAGGTACACAAGCATGGTGTACAGGGTGACTGACTGATGCCCCAGAATCCCCCACCAGGTACACAAGCATGGTGTACAGGGTGGCTGATGTGTCCCAGAATCCCCACCAGGTACACAAGCATGGTGTACAGGGTGGCTGATGTGCCCCAGAATCCCCACCAGGTACACAAGCATGGTGTACAGGGTGACTGATGTGCCCCACAATCCCCACCAGGTACACAAGCATGGTGTACAGGGTGGCTGATGTGCCCCAGAATCCCCACCAGGTACACAAGCATGGTGTACAGGGTGGACTGATGTGCCCCAGAATCTCCACCAGGTACACAAGCATGGTGTACAGGGTGGCTGATGTGCCCCAGAATCCCCACCAGGTACACAAGCATGGTGTACAGGGTGGCTGATATGCCCCAGAATCCCCACCAGAGTACACAAGCATGGTGTGCAGGGTGACTGATGTGCCCCAGAATCCCCACCAGGTACACAGGCATGGTGTGCAGGGTGACTGATGTGCCCCACAATCCCCACCATCACCAAGACTACAAGTATGGGGAACTCAGGAACCACACTGGGCAGGATTCAGGTGACCTGGTCTTCTACTGACCTGAGTGTAGGTGTCTTGAAGTGAGTAGTCAAGCAGGACCATGAGGACGAGGGCGATCAGGATTCCGAAATCTCCAAGAGCTCGACGAGCCTGTAACAAAATAATCACCACTACAGCACCTACAAACACAACACATACATGGAGCTTACATCATATTTATGGACTACAAACCTACAGAAGGATAGACTGTGACGTAAACAATTCTAAGTGATTCCAAAAAGACGTCGACAACACAAAGCGATGCCAAAAAAGATGTCAAAACTTCAAATATTGTAGATCTCTATCCACAAGGATAAATTAGCATTAACAAAGAAGTCTTCATTAAGCCAACAGTACTGTACTGGGCTCCTGAAATCAGACTAACTTACAGATGGCAACTGTAGAGAATGGATACATGTGACGTGTATACTCACACTCCTGCCTAAGAATTTGCTGTTCCTGAAGATTCTCAGGAAATAGGCTATGAGGAAAGTCCCGAGCACCAAGATGGTTGTGAGGAGAGCGGTGTTTGGTTCATTGCGCCTTTCATGATGGTCATCCGAATCATATGCTGGGCTGGTGTTGTTGTTGGTGTTGTTGTTGCTGGTGATGTTGGTGATGTCAGTGAAGTTGGTGATGTTGCGGTACAGGTCAGGGTAATTACTACTGTCAACGGCATGCTCCGTGTCATTGGGGCAGAACACAGCATTCAGAGGATGGTAGGTGAAAGTCTGAAATAGATATCATCATCATCATCATCAACATGACACAGAGTGACATGGTAAAGTTGGGTGATGTCATAAAAAGTTTGTTTGTGTTCATTGTAGAGGGGTGTACTCATCAACATTCAAGCTTCATAACGGTGGCCTGAAGATAAGCAGGTTTGGAACAGACTTACTATCTGACTTAATATCAGGAAAATTTAAGATCATCAGTGTCCTAAGAGACTAAATTCCGAAGATATATGACCACGGGATCTGTCTATTTGCCTCCTTCAAGCATAGGTTGCTGGTAACCATTGCCTAAACGCGGGCTATGGACAAGATAAACAAGTTTAACAAGAAGACACAGTCATCAATATCCCCCGCAATGGCAAAATACTTTTCATGATTATGTCTACGAGTTATGATTATGTCAAATATTTAGGTGTGTATCTAGAAAAGTGGAAGGAGAGTATTGAAAGGTTTTGAAAGTTCTGCTCCAGAAAGGAGCACTATCACCAATTTCAGTCTAAGTCAAACTTGTTGCCATGGAAAAGCCAAAAATATTTTATTCAGAATTCCAAAACTACCAAAAGGCACAAGTACACCACCAGATCTATCTATGTGCCAAGTTTGGTGAAGACATATGGAATGGTTTTAGAGTTCTGTCTCGGAAAAGAGCACTACCACCAATTTCAGGCTAAGTCAAACTTGTTGCCATGGAAAAGCCAAAAATATTTTATTCAGAATTCCAAAACTACCAAAAGGCACAAGTACACCACCAGATCTATCTATGTGCCAAGTTTGGTGAAGAAATATTGAACGGTTTTAGAGTTCTTCTCCGGAAAAAGCACTACCACCAATTTCAGTCAAAGTCGAACTTGTTGCCATGTAAACGCCAAAAATGTTTTATTCAGAATTCCAAAACTACCAAAAGGCACCAGTACACCACCAGATCTATCTATGTGCCAAGTTTGGTGATGAAATAGTGAACGGTTTTAGAGTTCTGCTCTGGAAAAGAGCACTACCACCAATTTCAGTCAAAGTCAAACTTGTTGCCATGGAAACACCAAAAATATTTAATTCAGAATTCCAAAACTACCAAAAGGCACCAGTACACCACCAGATCCATGTATGTGCCAAGTTTGGTGAAGAAATATTGAACGTTTTGAGAGTTCTGCTTCGGAAAAGACAAATGTGCACGGACGGACGGAGTCCATTTTAATATCCACCGCAAAATTAGTTGGGGATAATTAGTTGATATTAATTCACTAACAAGACCAGAAAGAAAGAATGAACAAAACCAAGCTCTCAACTGGTGCCATCCACACTCACTTCATCCAGGACTTTCTAAACCAAGCTCTCAACTTGTGCCATCCACACTCACTTCATCTAGGACTTTCTAAACCAAGCTCTCAACTGGAGCCATCCACATTCACTTCATCTAGGACTTTCTAAACCAAGCTCTCAACTGGAGCCATCCACACTCACTTCATCTAGGACTTTCTAAACCAAGCTCTCAACTGGAGCCACCCACACTCACTTCATCCAGGACTTTCTAAACCAAGCTCTCATCTGGAGCCATCCACACTCACTTCATCCAGGACTTTCTAAACCAAGCTCTCAACTGGAGCCATCCACACTCACTTCATCTAGGACTTTCTAAACCAAGCTCTCAACTGGAGCCACCCACACTCACCTTATCAAGTTTCTTGATAGCCTCGTAGATGAAGATGAGCGAAATGAGAATGGCAAATATCTCTTCAGTGAAACGTGTGACGTAGCGGATGAGGAAGCTTCCTTCTAGTGCCACCGTTACCGAGGTGATGATACACACCCACATGCCGATCCAGCACCGGAATGACAGAAACTCAATGTCATTGGCATCACAGAACTGCAAGTAGATAGCATGATTGCTTGACTGACTGGAACTAAACTGACCTGAACTGTAAATATTTGACATCAGTGTGATGCTGAAACAAACGACTGATCGGTTTAAGTGAATCAGTAGAATAAAATTATGCTCAAGTTGGCATGATAATCAGCTATTGACTACTGGTGACAGCACAGACTGGTGACAGATGTAAAGTTACCATGGTTTTATCAGTGGCAGATCCTCAGCCTTCACACTGCAGCAATGACAGTTGCACATTAAAACTTTGGAAAAGCTTTCCCTGTTCATGTTGACATAGGCACACTTATGTTACGGCCTGGTAGAGGTGAATTGTATTTCACTGATACCAGGAATCAGTACAATAAAGAGGAAGAGGTTATAATGTACATTCTGGCATGGAATGCACTGTTAAAGTTAGCACTCCCAAATTGGATCAAAACAATAAAATAATAAACATTTGCCTGAGTTTGGAATCCTAGATACAGAAGCAATTCTTACCTTATACAGTGATTGTTCAAACACCAGCACTGGGCCAGTGGCCCCCACAATCAGCAGCGGCTGCCCACAGAACAAGCCAAACACAATGCCACACAGCGAGGTGCTCACCACCGTCTCACTGACTCCCATCATGCCTTTGGTCTTCTCACCTGCAACAACAATTGATGGGGGTACACCTACAGAATACTGGATACCTACCAGCAACATTGTTTATCATTATATGACGGGTAGATTTCCGCCTTTCTGATCGGCCCACTTGGTCACGTCAGCTGTGACGCTAAGCGATGTCAACCTCGCCACGTCAAGCGAGGATGATATAACAATCCAAGCACCTCCCGTGGCTAAAAATAGATTTGGGATATTCCAGCTGTGAACTCCGCATTGCGTGCGTAACGCTACATAAGGAAGCGATAGGCATCGCTTTGTCCCTGTGACTGTGTTGGTTTAGAGTTCTGTCCCATCTGTATCAAAATGGCAGACGACACAACACTGCGAAGATTCATGACTGTGTCAGAAGAGGAAATAAATCGTCTACTGAAGGAAAAAGATGCATGCACACCAGAAGGGCAATGGCAAGTGCCAAAAAAAAAGCCTATCTTCATGAAAAAATTGCTTTCATTTACTAATACTGCCTCTGTTAGCTGTAAGCCTATTCCAGCTTATATTGAGTCTCTTCTACGTCACAGAAGAACAGGTATTCAGTACTTTTGTCATATAATAAAACAATTATTGACTTCAGTTCGGACGATCCAATGATTTATCGACCTTGGACATTTGATATTCACTGAGGCAAAGCCGAGGTGAATATCACATGTCCAAGGTCGATAAATCATTGGATCACCTCACTAGAAGTCAATAATTGTATAATGTCAATGTGGCTACAGATAGCAACAATTGATGTCAACGTGGCTACAGATATCAACAATTGATGTCAACGTGGCTACAGTTAGCAACTATTGATGTCAATGTGGCTACAGGTAGCAACAATTGATGTCAACGTGGCTACAGGTAGCAACAATTGATGTCAACGTGGCTACAGTTAGCAACTATTGATGTCAACGTGGCTACAGGTAGCAACAATTGATGTCAACGTGGCTACAGGTAATAACTGATTTCAAATGAACTTGGTCAACACAAACGTCAACTTCTTGTAATTAAGACTCACATTTGTTGTCTTAAACTGCAGTCAACAGTAGTCAAATCACAGCAGCCTGTAACTATATCGGTCAAGACTAACTAGTGGTTGATATTGTGAGTCAAAACTGTTGGTGTGACTAACAATCATCTCAGTCACCAAGTCTGACATCCAGTCCAAGTTAGTTTCTTCTTATAAGAATAACAGTACATGAAGTCAAAATGTGATACTCTGACTGCAGGTAAAACAACATTGCGGTAGATGTGTATTGCTAAGTCAAAAGCTTCACAGCTTCTACAAGGCAATCAACTTATAAATAAACATGGCATATCTTACTGAGAATTCCACCGAAGGCTATACATGGAGAAAAACAGGCAAAGAAGATGAAGACGAGTGCCATGAGGCACTGGAGGTTGATGGAGTCTCGCAGGTCACTGACGTAGTGAGGGTAGCGCCGCTTGATGTCGTTGATGAGACCGCCAAACAAACAGCCAGTCCGCAGTAGGGGGTCTGTGGGGATCTTCTTGTGTTCCTTGTCCAGCAGGGCTGCAGAGAGGCGCACATGGTCACACATTGTCACAGATTGTCTGTGTACAGTCAGTGTACAAAGATAGGCACACACATGATCACATGATAATATGCTGGGGTCGAGATTGTCTGTGTACAGTCAGGGTGTACAGTGGGTGTCACACACAGGATCACATGATAATATGCTGGGGTTGAGATTGTCAGAGTACAGTCAGGGTGTACAGTGAGTGTCGTACACAGGGTGTACATGATCACATGGTAATGGTAATGCTGGGGTTGAGATTGTCTGCGTACAGTCAGGGTGTACAGTGAACGTCACACACATGATCACTTGATAATATGCTGGGGTCGAGATTGTCTGCGTACAGTCAGCGTCACACACATCATCACTCGATAATATGCTGGGGTTGAGATTGTCTGTGTACAGTCAGGGTGTACAGTGAGTGTCACACACATAATCACATGATAATATGCTGGGGTTGAGATTGTCTGCGTACAGTCAGGGTGTACAGTGAGTGTCACACACAATTTACATGATAATATGCTGGGGTAGAGATTGTCTGTGTACAGTCAGGGTGTACAGTGAGTGTCACACACATAATCACATGATAATATGCTGGGGTCGAGATTGTCTGTGTACAGTCAGGGTGTACAGTGAGTGTGTTGATTGTCAGCGTACAGTCAGGGTGTACAGTGTCACACACATGATCACATGATAATATGCTGGGGTCGAGATTGTCTGTGTACAGTCAGGGTGTACAGTGAGTGTCACACACATGATCACATGATAATATGCTGGGGTTGAGATTGTCAGCATGTCACAGTCAGGGTGTACAGTGAGCAGGGTGTACAGTCACACACATGATCACATGATAATATGCTGGGGTCGAGATTGTCTGTGTACAGTCAGGGTGTACAGTGAGTGTCACACACATGATCACATGATAATATGCTGGGGTTGAGATTGTCTGTGTACAGTCAAGGTGTACAGTGAGCGTCACACACATGATCACATGATAATATGCTGGGGTCAAGATTGTCTATGTACAGTCAGGGTGTACAGTGAGTGTCACACACATGATCACATGATAATATGCTGGGGTCGAGATTGTCTGTGTACAGTCAGGGTGTACAGTGAGTGTCACACACATGATCATATGATAATATGCTGGGGTTGAGATTGTCTGCGTACAGTCAAGGTGTACAGTGAGTGTCACACACATGATCACATGGTAATATGCCGGGATGAGGTGTACTTGGAGACACACATATGGTCATACAATGTTAAGTGTAGGAAACTATTTCAAGAGGATCTAAATAATTCTGAATCCTTCATTTCTGACAGTATGGTAACAAGGACCCTTGACGTAAATCCTTAATTACAGACAGTAATAGTTTTGTTCTGATCAATTAGTTTTAGTAAGTACTTCCAACATACTTGTTTGTTCCTCAAGTTTTTTCTTCTTGCGATGTCGAAGGTTAGCACGTTTCCGGGCCATGTCCATGATTGGCAGCAGCGTCTTCTGGTCCCAGTCACCAGGGGGCAGCACTATGGAGTCATCCAGGAAACTGTTGATGGCATGTAGAAGTTGTTCCCTCGAATCAGCTTTGTAAGCCACTTCATGGAAACTCTGGAAGTGAGAGACAAATCAGCCATTTACATGCTGGGAGTAACAGGTGCTTGGTAGATACATGGATATATCGGAACCATTTTCATCACTGATATTTTCTTCCTTATTTTCATTGGAATTGTGCCAGCCACACACAAACGTAGCATAGAAATGGGCCCATCAACTAGATTCACTCACCTGATTGGCCAGGAGCGTAGAAATGGACCCACCAACAAGACATACTCACCTGATTGGCCAGGAGCGTAGAAATGGACCCATCAACAAGACATACTCACCTGATTGGCCATGAGTGTAGAAATGGACCCACCAACAAGACATACTCACCTGATTGGCCATGAGCGTAGAAATGGACCCATCAACAAGACGTACTCACCTGATTGGCCAGGAGCGTAGAAATGGACCCACCAACAGGACATACTCACCTGATTGGCCATGAGTGTAGAAGTGGGCCAACCAACAAGACATACTCACCTGATTGGCCATGAGTGTAGAAATGGACCAACCAACAAGATGTACTCACCTGATTGGCCATGAGTGTAGAAATGGACCCACCAACAAGACATACTCACCTGATTGGCCATGAGTGTAGAAATGGACCCACCAACAAGACATACTCACCTGATTGGCCATGAGTGTAGAAATGGGCCCACCAACAACACATACTCACCTGATTGGCCATAAGTGTAGAAATGGACCCACCAACAAGACGTACTCACCTGATTGGCCATGAGTGTAGAAATGGACCGACCCACTTCGTGATAGTCCATGGCACTCTCCGGACCAAGGAGGATGATGACGAGGCGAGTAGGCAGTGGCACCTCTGTGAGGTTGTCCAGTACCTGACCCTGTTCTAGACGAACAAAGGCCACTGCCGGTTTCTCCAGGAAGTCGACGTTACCAACTAGCACAATGCTGGCTTCTGCGCCTGCAGGAATTCGCCGCATAATGTCCTGCACATTACGCTTTGGCTCGGCAGCAGAGATTCCTATGTGTACCCCATCAGTCTGAAACAAACAAACATATTCATTTTTACATCAGTTGAACATTACATCACGTCTGAACAGTCTTGGTGACCTAGTCTGACCTTGACTTTCCATGCATGAAGTTAACACACCCTTTCTTCCATTAAGGCTGTCAATTACTGGAACATTTGCTTGAAATTCTGGATGTCATAGCTGAAAATTATCTGCTTCTCTCAAAGAAAAGACGTGTATAGAAAATGATAACCAGTCTTGGGCAATGATCCCAGTGCAAGTTGGGTTAGATCAGACAGTTGTGTGTGTAAAATGTTCAGCAGGAATGTTTCTTTTTTTCAGCCCATTTAATACAAAAATCACATGGCAAGCTCCTCACCATGTTGTTGTCCACGTCGACCTTCACCATCTCCAGCTTGGCAGCCTCGTGGTGTGGAGTGCTGCCTTGGTACTCCTCATTCAGCTTCTTGAGGTCCACACTTGACCCAATGTTCCCGAAGCTAGCCTGGGACAAGTTTGGAATCATTGACTTCCGGCGCTGGTGATAATGCCTGGAAAGTGGCCATGGAGAGAACATTACAGCAACACGTAAACATTTAGCACAATAACTCTGACATGGTTACTCTAATATGAGCAGCTGGATTTTAGAGTCATGAAATCTCTTATATTAATGTGAGCATTCCCTCTTATTTCAAAGGTATATGACAGAAAACAATAAGGGAACAAAGATGAAAGGAAATTGTTTACTACGAAATCCAAATGCTCCACATCTACTAAATAAGTTTTTACTTTCATACAATCTCCACAGCTGATTCCAGTAAAGGATGAACACAGGTTGTCTACTTTATACATGCTCCCTTGATCTGTCTACTGTCTACTCCACTACTGACTTACCAATACAGGTGGAGAAGACCAGTTGGTCAAATACATGGAGGGAAGGGTTGAATGTCACTGAAGTGCCTACTATTCAATTAACCTGACCAGTGAAATACATAACAGCAAAGAAAATATCATTCCAAATGTTAACTATAGCAAAATAAACAACAATGAGTGAGTGTGTGAGTCACACTGAGGAAGTAATGAATGATGACACATAGTGATGAAGTATACTTCTACGCTGACACTAAACAACGTAACACAGAGTCCACTATGCATGATTCATGTCAGTCGGCATGCATAGTCCTGACACTCGCATGCACAACACATACCCAGTGTCTCCATAACCTGTACCCAATCTGTACACCCAACAAACATCGCCTCTCATAAGCTGCTTTCTAGATGTTTTTTCCTAGCAATGTGGTTGCCAGTGGAAATAAAGTACAGTTGAAAGAAACTCCTCCCTGATTTGTTCCACTTTATTTAATTTTGTGTTGATACTAAAATTTGTATACAGGCTTTTCAGAAACATGAGGCTGATAAAATATTTTAACATTTTATAACATTTGGGGGCCATCAGATGAAAAAAACATACAATGTGTTGGTACAACAGTACGCTGCATGTCTACAGTCAACAAGTTTTAATTACTCAGTATGAAGATAATGGTTGGACAATGGCAAGGCTGAATATATTTAATCCCTTGGTCAATTTCAAAATCATAAACATGATCGCCTTTATCTGAATTTGTAGAAGGTGGGTAAGATGGCTACACGTGAAATGGAGACACATGACTGACTATACACTCAAGAACTGACCGGGATCACGGTAACTAGGATCAGGTCAGACATGCATACATGAGTTGTGAATCAACAGCTGCTCCACACTGGCTGACTCTGGCTAACACTAGGATCACAGACTGTAAACTGGGATCATATGAACCAAGTAACTAGTTAGGACCATATGTCGGTTAACAAGGAGCTACAGTCAGTTCATGTGTAACTATCACTTCTAAACTTCAATAAAGAATATGTCGGAAACCAACACGGACCAGATGATCAACACTAACTTGTTAATACTCAGTGTAATGGTAGAGCTGGTGAATAATACTAGTGAATAATACTGGTGAATAATACTGGTGAACCAATGAATTTCATGAAATGGTAAATGAAATGATACACATTAACAGAGCACTTGATCAATTAGTCAGAAAACTGACAAAACACCATGTGTTGTTACAAGTTAATCCTCCCCTGCTTCCTTCACCAAGTATAATATAACATATATTTGGAAAAATTATGTAATAAAGCAAAATAAACCAAAAGGGAATCTATAATGCAGAAATCAAAATATGTGCGAGTTGGTTTCGACAAAGAATCTAATAATGAAATATATAAATACTCCTCAGTAAAACAATGTTGTGCAGGGAAGGAACTCCATTCAGGAGACAAAGTGACAATAGTGTTTCACTGGTAAAACAACTGGAAGTAACAGTTGGTGACAAAAATAAAGGTTGTTGTCCATTCTCCTTGTTTTGTATTTCCTTGAAAACTCTAACATCAGTAAATGATGAAAACTTGGATCATTTTATAGAGTGAAGATAAAAGATCAGACTATAAGCATATCAAGCTTGTTTAATCAGACAATGCGTTACCAATAGACAATAGCAGTACCATCAGATTCAGAGGCCCATTTTGAAGAATTGATTGCATGGTGTATTTGCACCAACTCTCAAAACTAAATGGAAACGTGTTAAGGGGCACACACAAAACGGTTCTGTTTGTCAAAGTTTGAAGTTTGTTGTCATTGCACCAGTTTCTGTTTTATATGAAGCAAACTGCTGTAAAACGTTGAAGGAAATATAAAATTAGTGGCAATGTGTTACACAATCTACAACTGAAAGTTGGGATTAGTAAAGCAGGCACAGCTTGTTTCCTGACATTGTCTGACACATGTCAATCAAATATGACTGACTATTTCACAACATTTCTTTATAGAACAATCCGTTGTTGGCAAAATCAGAATTCTCAAACAAATCCCTTGCAGAAACATCAAACACACGACTGAGAAGAATCAAGCTGTAACTACAGTTGGCGTAAACAACTATGAGAGAACTCGGAAGTCAGAACTAACAAACTGACACTCCACAAAACACATTGTAAGGGTCATAATTCCTTAAGTAAAGGAAAATTCTTCACAAAACAAATACAATACATGTATAATTTGAAAAAGAACATGCCATATCTTCAGTGACCATATTTAGGTAAGTGTATTGAAGATTCTTAAGATGATCACAGCAAGTATCAGTTTGTGTCGTAATTACTGCAGAGTTCTCTTGTCTAGATGTGAGTCACAATCCAACACAGATATAGAATGTCTGCATTCACCAGTACACTACACAATCCGCAGGCATAGCCATTCATATAATACGAAAAGACATACATGTTAAACAACCCTTGACAACTACCCGTGCTACAGGCATCCCTGGAAAACACCAAGGCCTTGGCAAGAGCTGTTGCCATACTAAATCCTTACCAAAGCCTGTGTTACAGGATTTCCTTCACAGCACCGGGCCTGTGCCACAGTAAATCCTTGACAACAGCTTGTGTTACAGGATTCCCTTGACAACAGTCTGTGCCACAATAAAAGATTGACAACAGATCGTGTACAGAGTGACCTTGACAACAGCTTGTGTTACAGGATTCCCTTGACAACAGTCTGTGCCACAATAAAATATTGACAACAGATCGTGTACAGAGCAACCTTGACAACAGTCTCTGCCACAATAAAAGACTGACAACAGATCGTGTACAGAGCGACCTTGACAACAGTCCGTGCCACAATAAAAGATTGACAACAGATCGTGTACAGAGCAACCTTGACAACAGTCTGTGCCACAATAAAAGATTGACAACAGATCGTGTACAGAGCAACCTTGACAACAGTCTCTGCCACAATAAAAGATTGACAACAGATCGTGTACAGAGCAACCTTGACAACAGCTTGTTACAGGATTCCCTTGACAACAGTCTGTGCCACAATAAAAGATTGACAACAGATCGTGTACAGAGCAACCTTGACAACAGCTTCTGTTACAGGATTCCCTTGACAACAGTCTGTGCCACAATAAAAGATTGACAACAGATTGTGTACAGAGCGACCTTGACAACAGTCTGTGCCAAGTAAAACTTGACTGTGTTACAAAAGGACCTTGACAACAGACTGTGTTACAAAAGGACCTTGACAACAGACTGTGTTAGAGAACGACCTTGACAACAGTCAGCGCCATGGCAAAGCCTTGGCATGGTTCTGTACCACAGCGACCGGATAAGACAATCCTGTCCCACAGCAAACCTTTGACAAGTCTGAGACAGTGAACATTTAAGAGCCTGTGCAAGAGCGTTTTCTGGCCAATGCCTGTGCAACAGTGAACCCTTGACAGCAGCTTATGTCACAGAATTGACAAAACAGACAACAGGAGCTTCTTGATTCAAGAGGTTGATATTGAATCAAAGCAGTACTTCAGCAGGTGGGAGTTTGTATGTCTTGTTTAGAAATTCCCAGACAATATGACGGCAGGGGACAACACATCACGTCATTAACGTCACAAATCATGCGCAAACAAACCACAAATACATGTACATTAGTTTTCAATAACTCTACCCAAGAATACAAAACATTCATGCCTTACATACATTATTGCTGAATCAGTTAAGTTTACATTAGTTTTCAATTACTAATTACACAATAGTTTATCACATAAGTTGAAATAATATATCATCTGATACTGATAAATCTCAAACCAACTAGTACATAATCTCCATACTGGCAGTTGATTTATAACTGCATTTTGTCTGTTTATCCAATCATCTCAGTCATCTGACATGACGCCAAAACATTCCCGTGTAATTTTTGTTTCACTGATGTTTGAGGAAACATATAACCAACAACTTGTTTTGTAAACATAACATCAAAACATTCACGCAATTTCTGGAAAGGTTTTTTAACGTCTTGAAATCTGACCATTTGAAAGAGTTGGTTGAATATCAAAGCCCTGTGCATTGACTACCCTGGCTACTTTAGCTGTTCCTGTGTTTCTGATGCTGTAGTCAGGTGCTGCTCTGTTGCCATCATGTTGCTTCATGTTGCAATCAGTCTGAACCAGACAATCCAGTGATTGACATCATGAGCATCAATCCACACAACTGTGATATGATGACATGTATAAACTACAGTAAGTGACTGCGTCTGACCACACAATTTCGTTAGTGGTTACAAGCAAGGATATGTGAAGACCCATTGTAACCCAGATCTTCGTGGGGCACAAGCCAGCAGAAACTGTTGGGGTGGGTGATAAAAGATCATATACAATGTCAAGAAGTATAGCAAACCTGGATGTATCCAACCCCACAAGGTTGGAATAAGACACGTTTCGGGGCAGAAACGTGCTGCGTTCACTAACATGCCTGAAATCAAATGGTGTTACAAGGAATGAAGTTAATAGTGAATGACAACATAGTAAAGTCAAAGCAGGGCAGTAAATGTTCAAATAATACAAATAAGCAAAACAAGATGAAAAATGTGGAGCCATCAAACTCTCTAGCTCACCGAGCAAGGTTCAAGTACTTAAAGCCTCAGATGTTCTCCACTTTGTTTAAACCCACTAGCTCAGGTATTGTTCTGTTAAACCGAGACCATTATCAGGAAGAACCAGAATTGGAAGCCGTTATCTAAAAAATTCTTTGATAGCTTGATTGATATTATTTATGAATTTGAAGGAATGCATGAAAGTACACATGGATGAAATTCTTGAAATGACAGACATGCGAAAACTGAAAGCGTCTTCCATAGAAGTATAGGTCACAGTTATCTACCTGAATTAGAATTACTTCTCAGGACAGTGTTGACATACACTGATTCCTTGGTCAAGAAATATGACCAGATGTAACAATATTGGAAATTTTAATATAAATTGTATATTTATATACTTATCCTATCTCACGACTTGCACCTCTCTCTCTTGCTTCGACTTTTAGTGGAACGACTGTAAACGTTTTCCATACGCCTCCTTGTCCATTCGCCCGTGCACTCCATGCTGCTCTCCTTAACTAGCTTCCTAGTTCCTAATAAAGCTTGCAGCATGCTCCACTAATTGCCCACGTGACTACCTTGAATGATCATTCTCATCTTGGAGCCAACGTTGTAATCTGAGTAGTGGGGAGGCCGGGCGGGCATCCATTGCGTGAGATAGGATAAGTATACAAATATACAATTTATATTAAAATTTCCAAATTTTTAAACTTATCCTATCTCACGACTTGCACTTATCCCACGGTTGGACTGCGGGCCGCAGATTACCCTTCTGTCTGGACAGTGCGAACAGCTGGTCTTGGAGCTGTGTGGATTGATGACAACCGTAGATAGCGATGTACAAGGGAGGCCTGTTACGCATGCATGCAACTCCTATGCTTGTAGTGAGTTCTCCGGAACCCCTTGGCTTACTAAGAAAAACGATTCCCACGGAGAAGGGTGTTCCCGAGCAATGTGGTGTTCGGCCGCAACTTTGTACAAGACAAGGGACGCAACTCGGCAAGTAAGCCTCGCCCCCCAGACACCGACCTAGGCGGGTGAAAGAGAAACACAACTCGGCATCTCCAAGGTTTAACGTTCAGTTCCGGACAGCATCAAATTGACCCTCACTCCTTTGCCTAAGCTTAGTCAAAGGATGTGCCCTGTAACTTTGGAGGCAGAACGCAACGAAATCCACTGGAATTTGGGAGTGTCACACTTCACTGACGTAATTGCTCGGAGGAGTAGAGGTCCATGAGCGTGAATGTCGAACACCTCTGCATCATCATACTGATTGTGCCTCAGGTCCATAGGGCCACGCTAGGTGGCCATATTCCGATGCCTTGGTATGGAGGCCAAGTGAAGTAGTTCTTAAACCCATATAATGAGAACAAAATGTTGAGATCGAGTTCAACTTTTATTCAGTATATACAAGGAAGTAGTAACGCGAATGCGGAACTGTCCCTCATCTGCGTTGTTGGGCTGATGTAAACTGCTGAGCCAGTACAAGAGGTCCGAACTGGTGTAGTCCCTGGACATCCGTGACAGACAGGTCTCGCAGGTAATGTGAAGAGAAGACTGTATCAGAACGCCAGAAGCAACCTTCCATGATAGCGGTCAAGGAACAGTTGCTATGGATGGCCATCATCGAGGCTAGTGCACGAGTCTCATGAGGATTGGAAGCGGCTGGAGGAGGCAACCCTGCAAAGGTGTAGGCTCGCAGGATCGTGGCACGCATCCAGAAGGCCAATGTGGTCCGGGAAACCTCAGTTCTTGAAGCGTTTGACAAGGGTATGAAGAAGCGCTTCCGTAGCCGTCGACGATCCTTGGATGCAGCAAGGTAAACGTGTAGAGCCCTAACAGGGCAGAGTGTCAAATCGTCATTATCATCAGGCCCAAGAATGGTGGACAACGGGGGAATGGTAAACATCTGGTCCGGTTGCCCTGGCAGTTGGTTTTTCGCAATGAAGTCCCAGCGGAGACCCAGGAAAGCCTTGCCATGCTTCTTCCGCTCGAACCGCACCCGATTGACATCAAGAGCATGCAGTTCAGATATATGAGCAGCGGTAGCCAAAGCTACCAGGAAGAATGTCTTGAATGTCACTTGTTCGAAGTCCTTGTCTTCTAAAGGTTCATAATCTGTAGAAATCATATGACGAAGGACGAAAGACAAATCCCGGGCCGGAGGTCTGAACTTCCTGGACTGGTCAGAGATTCTATAGGATCGTACTAGACTCTGCAACTCGGGAACAGTGGAAATCTTCGTCCCCGTGGTGGTAGCCAAAACGGAGTTAATGGCGGCTAAGTAGGTAGCTAACGTAGTACCCTTGAGTTTCTTAGTAGTGCGGAGATGCTGGAGAAACTCGGCAACGACCTGAGCCGAGGTTGACAAACCAACTGCTCGCTGGCCAGAAGGGTGCGACCAAAAGCAGTGGTATGTTGCTGGTGGCCAATAGTTTCTGTATTACTTTTGGTGGCAGAGCTGGAGGGGGGAGACCCTGCCATGATATTGCCAACGCGTCGAGGTCCCACGCCAAGGAGTCTGGGATTGGTGATACAAACTTTGGAAGTTGGTTGTTGAACCTTGTGGAGAACAGATCTATTTGAGGCCGTGATAACGGGTAGATCATCGACTGAAAGATCCGGGGCAGTAACTTCCACTCTGTCGGGGACGGTCGGTTGGATCGGGACAAGGCATCGGCAATCACATTTTTTAACCCGGGAATGTGTCTGGCTCTGGCTACGATGTTGAGTGAGTCGATGAAATGGAAGAACCCGATCGCCCATTGTAGCAGATTCTGCAATCTCCCGCCTACCAGAGTGTTGTAAATCGAAACACCTGGGGGCGGGAGGTCCCAGTCATGCGATTGTCTCAAGCCGTCACTGCTTCCCGGCGCTGGTCCCTGGACCAGAGTTGGTCCTGGAGGGGGCGACGGGAGGAACCACCACGGCCAGATCTGTTTCCTCTGCCACGGCCTTGAGTGGATGCGCCACGAAAAAGATTGCGTAAATCCGGATTGGTAGGGGTGAACTGTGCAGTTCGACGCTATTTTAATGAGTCCTGGAGCTGTGACTTCTGTATCTTTAACAGTTCAATCGAGACTTGAAAGTGGGTTTCTTTATCAACTTTATTAGATACTTCTTGGATGCTACCATTGAAGAGGGAGTCAGTAAACCAAGGCTGGCGAAACAGTTCTGTTTTAAAGAGACAACTGATCCAGGATAATTTGGAACTGGTCCAGCGCTAAAGTCATGCATCATCGGATGTAAGCGTCTTGATCAGAGGAAGTATGCTCCAGCAGAGCAGTGTTAAAAGCATCGACACAACTAATAGATGGCAACGTCTTTCTCACGGCTGAATCCATGTGAGCCAACTCTCGGTCCTCAATAAGGAGGGCGAAGCAGCTCATTTGCCACACAGGGTTCCAATATCCTCATCAACTGTTGGAGCCGTAGAGATTTTTGTTAGGCCGTGGACATGAGAGGTAGAAGGATTATATCTGGGAGCAGAGAATCCATCCTTAAAGCGTTTCAGGCTCTTGAAACCATCATTTAGTGTACTGGATAATTTTAGAATACAAGGTCGAGGTGGTAGGGTGATGGTAGACCAATCCAGGTTCCTAAAAGTATAAGAGTGATCGAGGTCATCTGCTGAAGTACTCAAGGGAAGTTGGAGCTTCTCAACAATCCTAAGGAGTACCAGAGTACTGCAAAGCTACCCCCAGGGGTAGATAACTCAGAGTGAGTGGGAGATGCAGGCATGGCTATTTGGACTGGATCAATCTCAGGAGGTGGACCAGATGAAGAGCCAGGAGCTACCGAAGCCGGATGGGCTCTAGTAGAAGGCTGTATTTGGTTCCAGGCTCAGGTTATGGCCCTGATCATCATATTTAGATCCGGAGTCGCTGTAGGAGTGGGATTGTTATCAGGTTCCCATGACTCAGCGATGATCCTAGAGTGAGTCGAAGGGTTCTCAGAGCCTGTAGACGGAACATCATAAGAGACTGTAGGCCTATTAGTGGTATCAGAGCAATGATCACCTGAATGTCGGTCAGAGGAACTGTATCGAGATCTCGACGTGGTAAGTACCGAAGTAGGTTGGTAAGCCGGTGATCTGGATTCCCAAGTGTGGCTAGGTGATCCGGTATGATATGAAGAACTAGTCCGGGTCGCTGTAGTTCTAGTTGGTGATCTGGTTCTGATTGGAGCTCTGGTTCGACCATCTGAATAGCATTGGCCATGAGATGTGGATCTGTACTGTGATCCCGATTGGTCAATGGCTCTGTAAGGTGATCTAGATCGTATAGGTGACCTGGGTTCGTAAGATGATCTGGATTTGTAAAGTGATCTGGATCGATTCGACGCACAAACTGGAAACTGTGATCGTGATCTGGATCTATAAGGTGATCTGGTTTGCAGTTGTGATCTGCTTTGATTTGGTGATCTGGATCGGTTAGGTGATCTACTTTGATGTTGTGATCTGGATCGGTTCGGTGATTTGGATCGGTCTGGCAATCTACTTCGATGTTGTGATCTGGATCGGTTAGGTGACCTAGATCGGTCCGGTGATCTGATTCGAGGTTGTGATCTGGATCGGTTTCCGGTGATCTGATTCGAAGTTGTGATCTGGATCGGTCCGATGATCTACTTCGATGTTGTGCTCTGGATCGGTTTGGTGATCTGGATCCGCTAGGTGATCTGATTCAAAGTTTTGATCTGGACCCGTTTGGTGATCTGGATCGGTTAGGTGATCTGGACTGATCAGGTGATCTTGATCGGCACGGTGATCTAGATTGGGCTTGTGATGGTGATCTGGATCGTGAAGGTGATCTAGAATGATGTGGTGATCTGGATCGGCGATTAGGTGACGAAACCTGAAGTGTTGATTCATGATGAACGTCTCCCGGCGACACTGTTGTTGCCAGCTCCGTCAGGTTCAATGAACTGTGGGGAGACAGTTGGATGGTTGAACGTGGTTGGCCAGGCTCCAAACAAACCGAGACAGTCAAGGGGATAAGTACCGATGATCTGGATGATGATAGTGTCGATCTAAGGTCCCCTGGTAGTGTAGATGGGACAGGCAACGAAGATTTATCGATCACAACCACCCGCGAGTGATCTGACGTTATTGAAGGAGGTAATTGATGCGTACGTAATAGGTGCCGAACGTCCTCAGATAAGTAAGAATCTGATGAAGCGTCCATAAAATCCTCTTGAACCACAGACGTCGCTCTCTTGCGTGAAGGTACGATTTTCTGTCGCTGTAACTTGATACGCTTGGCGGGAATGGGATCAGATTCTGTTGATTTCCTGTCCCTATCGGCGATTCTCCAGGAGCAAACACGAAGGTAGGCCTTAAAATCCTCATCTTTTAGTGAATTACACTTGCCACATCGTTTGTTCCAGTTACATTGTCCAATACAGTTACTGCAAGACAAGTGAGGGTTGAGGGAGGAATAATTCATCTTGCATTGAGCACAAACTTTCCTTTTCCTTGACTGATTATCAGTTTCCCCATGATGTTAGGGTGAAATAATGTCCCTAATATACAGCACGTCCACACAGTCGTTCGACAAGAAAGAGAATGATCATTCAAGGTAGTCACATGGGCAATTAGTGGAGCATGCTGCAAGCTTTATTAGGAACTACTGGTAGGAAGCTAATTAAGGAGAGCAGCATGGAGGGCACGGGCGAATGGACAAGGAGGCCTATGGAAAAAATTTACAGTCGTTCCACTAAAAGTCGAAGCAAGAGAGAGAGGTGCAAGTCGTGAGATAGGATAAGTTTAAAAATTTCACCTGTGCATGGAAACATTAACAGAGTCTACATGTCTCAAACTAAGATAATCTGACCAGTATGTGATGGTTTCTCACAGATTTGTTCAGTTATTTCTATGAACTGTTTGTGACCAGCCTATAGATGAACAACAGACAACACACCATGACATAATCTCACTGGGGCGTTTACCCCAGTCAGGTGAGACCTCTCATAGAACATCACTTTGACAATGTCATAGACTGGAAGTATAGCAATAATTTCTTTCTCTTCATACATGGTATACAAATACATAAGATATTCATTATGATTACATTCCTTTCTGACCATTGTCAAACAATGTTAAGATATCCCAAGCAGATGTAGCAGGAATCTAGAGTCAGTGAGGCTGTTTAGATACTGGGGAGTCTTTATCTACTCTGTCGTCTCAAGATGTAAGCTCAAGTCAGTTTTGTTAAATCTGTCATACCTCCTTCTCATATTCATAAAAGTATGAAACGTGTCTCTTAGACATTCGAACAGCATGAAACTTGGCCATGAAAACATGGCTGCAACTACCCACAAGATGAGTGAGTTGCAAAGATGGCATTATTGTTGCACCACACGTCCATATTGACAGGAAGAAAAAACTAATCCAAGTGGTTTTGTTGTTAAATTCTGAACTTATCAATATTCTAGGCATATGACAGTGGCATGTAAATAATTGAGTTTGGGCCCGATGAATAGTGATCAATATAGTGAGCCCTGAACCCCAGATACCAAGTCACTTGACCACCCCTATGGTTGTGTCTGAAGACCAGCAGTTGTTGCTGGGAACCCTGGTCTAATCTGGAATCCCTCATGGGTTTTCAGAAATATAGTACCCGAGTAAATATGGGTATTGGATAACAAATTGTCAACACTAACAAACAGAAAACAAACATAAACTGAACCTGTGGCAACAGCCATAAATTGTGTATACATTACCCTCTCCACTCAATGATAGTGTCCCGCACAGACATGTACCCCCTCATCCTGGGACATGATAACAATACAGACATGTACCCCCTCATCCTGGGACATGATAACAATACAGACATGTACCCCTTCATCCTGGGACATGATAACAATACTGACATGTACCCCCTCATCCTGGGACATGATAACAATACTGACATGTACCCCCTCATCCTGGGACATGATAACAATACTGACATGTACCCCCTCATCCTGGGACATGATAACAATACTGATATGTACCCCCTCATCCTGGGACATGATAACAATACTGACATGTACCCCCTCATCCTGGGACATATAACAATACAGACATGTACCCCCTCATCCTGGGACATGATAACAATACAGACATGTACCCCCTCATCCTGGGACATGATAACAATACAGACATGTACCCCTCATCCTGGGACATGATAACAATACTGATATGTACCCCCTCATCCTGGGACATGATAACAATACAGACATGTACCCCCTCATCCTGGGACATGATAACAATACTGACATGTACCCCCTCAGCCTGGGACATGATAACAATACTGATATGTACCCCCTCATCCTGGGACATGATAACAATACTGATATGTACCCCCTCATCCTGGGACATGATAACAATACAGACATGTACCCCTCATCCTGGGACATGATAACAATACTGACATGTACCCCTCAGCCTGGGACATGATAACAATACTGACACGTACCCCTCATCCTGGGACATGACAACAATACAAACATGTACCCCTCATCCTGGGACATGATAACAATACTGATATGTACCCCCTCATCCTGGGACATGATAACAATACAGACTATACCCCCTCATCCTGGGACATGATAACAATACTGACATGTACCCCCTCATCCTGGGACATGATAACAATACTGACACGTACCCCCTCATCCTGGGACATGACAACAATACAAACATGTACCCCCTCATCCTGGGACATGATAACAATACTGATATGTACCCCCTCATCCTGGGACATGATAACAATACAGACATGTACCCCTTCATCCTGGGACATGATAACAATACAGACATGTACCCCCTCATCCTGGGACATGATAACAATACAGACATGTACCCCCTCATCCTGGGACATGATAACAATACAGACATGTACCCCCTCATCCTGGGACATGATAACAATACACATATGTACCCCCTCATCCTGGGACATGATAACAATACTGGCACACTCAGTTATACCACAGGTAGCACCACCCACTGCTTCCCTTCATCGGCAGCTTGTACAGACTTCCACAACTAATCTCTTGATGTCAAGTGTTTCTATTGTTTTCACACTTCCTCAATACAGGATCAAACTGAATGTCTTCATATGGAATTGATCAGCATAGTTTCTACATCTTACATATAACTAAACAATTCATGTTAGAAAAATCATAATAATGCTGATGTATTTATCATTTATTTATTTCACTAAACTCGCTGGTCATGTTTACTCCAGATTTTAAGAACATAAAGTCAAGAGTGGATTTCCCGATGTTCAAGGATACAAGTTAGTGAGGCTACCCATAATTCAATTCACTGCCCTAGTCATTTGATCTGGCAATCTTAGAGCTTTACTTGGTCGTGTAAATGTCACAGTGTAACTGGGAGAGTGGATACACGTGAGATGGGGTCAGTGACTGGGGGTGGTATGAATTGAGAATCAGAGGTATGACTGACATGATGAATGAGATGAGATGTATTGTGTGAGCTAGTGATGTTTTGATGATATGAAGACACTATCATGCCTGATTACATTACAACTACTGGTACTGGAAGCAAGCATCAAATATGACCACAAGGTTATACGTTTACATCACACAATACAACACCGGCGTAGTGGCTTCCTCAAGGACTCGGTAAAATGCACAAATAAGGTTTATAGCTGTGAGTATTGAAGAACTAAGCAGAACGACAGTTGAAAAGTTATATTATGCACAATATTACACGAGGAAAAGATTTGCAGAATGAAACTGATACACATGACCTTTATGAGGACATTTACCCCAGGCTTGACCATGCCAGCCATGGACTTACTTGTGTTTCAGGAGGAGTGTGCGGATTAGTCTCCCCTTGTCCTGCTCTCGGATCTGGTCAGTGATTGTCATGTTTTCCACGACCCGGTGGATAATGGTCTGAAGGTCACTGGCATCAAGGTCAAGGAGCATGGTGCCTGGAAGAAACATATACAGCGTGGCAGAACTAAGCCGAAGTTCAGTTGATTACAGCCAAGTCATAGCAATATTACCGCTATGCCATGGAAATATATGTGCAATGAAGAAAGGCCAATATTATTGTATATATTCATGAAGCAGTACTGGCAATAAGTACCATCGAAGCATCTCTAATGGTACATGCATTGTGGATATATTTAGGCCTTTCTTGTAATGAACCTTGGGCAACAAACCTTTTCCAAACGAAACTTATGCATACTTCAAAACAATTAGTATTTTTAAGGAGTTTACATCTTTTATAAACATAACAATAAGAAATGGTTTTCATTTTCTATTCCTATGCTTGAATCAACTTTCAATGGACATATCAACATCAGGGTAACATTACATCTAGACTGCAACAATACAATATTGCTGTTATGCCACTGCAATAAAAAATATAAGGAATGGAAATATTGACATTATGCCACAGTAACATAACTATGCCTTGACAATACAGCTGTTTCGCCACAGTAATAATGCCACTATGCCACAGTAACATAACTATGCCTTGACAATACAGCTGTTTCGCCACAGTAATAATGCCACTATGCCACAGTAACATAACTATACCTTGACAATACAGCTGTTTTGCCACAGTAATAATGCCACTATGCCACAGTAACATAACTATGCCTTGACAATACAGCTGTTACGACACAGTAACATAACTATGCCTTGACAATACACCTGTTACGCCACAGTAACATAACTATGCCTTGACAATACAGCTGTTACGCCACAGTAACATAACTATGCCTTGACAATACACCTGTTACGCCACAGTAATATAACTATGCCTTGACAATACACCTGTTACGACACAGTAACATAACTATGTGACAATACAATGCCACAGTAATATAACTATGCAATGACAATACAGCTGTTATGCCACAGTAATAATGCCACTATGTGACAATATGCTGTTATGCCACAGTAATATAACTATGCCTTGACAATACAGCTGTTATGCCACAGTAACATAACTATGCCTTAACAATACAGCTGTTATGCCACAGTAATAATGCCACAGTAATATAACTATGCCTTGACAATACAGCTGTTATGCCACAGTAATAATGCCACAGTAACATAACTATGCCTTAACAATACAGCTGTTATGCCACAGTAATAATGCCACAGTAACATAACTATGCCTTGACAATACAGCATTTACGCCACAGTAATAATGCCACTATGCCACAGTTATATAACTATGCAATGGCAACATTGCCATTATGCCACATACAGTAACGAGCAGAAAAAATGCGACTTTTCACAGACGTAGTTTCAAAATTTATTTACTGATAAATTCAGTAATATTTTTCATACATCCACTCTGGATACTGAAGTTTACATTTATGCAAGTCAATAGTCTGTTAGTCCACCGTTTCTCTCGATGCACTGCTGAATACGGGTTGTCCCATGCTGTCAATCAAATTGTCTATGTAGTCCTCGCCACCGCGAGACGCACGATACGTCGTCTGTCATTTGCCCCAAGAGTAGCACGACGTCCTGGTCCATCCTGTCGCTCTGTCCCTAACCCTGCGTCAAATTTCTTCAAATTTCGGTAAACAGAGGCCCGATGCAATCCCGTCAGTTTTACAAGTCAGGATGTAATACCTGCTTCATAATATGCCAAGAGTCGATTTCTGTTGTTTTGTAACGTCATGGCAAAGCTTCGGTATCGTATGCTAACAACGAGGTCACGTGATCAAGCCATCCCTGAACCCAAGGGAGATAATTCCATACCAACGAGGCAAGCTACTGGCGGCTTAAAACAATGTATTTTTCGGCTTTTTTGATAGTAGGATCGAGTCTACAGAATAAAGTTTTGTGTCGCATTTTTCTGCTCGTTACTATATATACACCAGCTATGGCATGGCAATATTGCTGTTTTGCCACAGTAATACAACAGATAAGATGTGGCAATATAGCTGTTATACCACGCTCATACAACAGTGAGTGAGTGAGTTTAGTTTTACGCCGCACTCAGCAACACTCCAGCTATATGGCGGTGGTCTGTAAATAATCGAGTCTGGACCAGACTATCCAGTGATCAACAGCATGAGCAATGATCTAAGCATGTGTCAACCAAGTCAGCGAGCCTGACCACCCGATCCCGTTAGTCGCCTCTTACGACAAGCATGGGTTACTGAAGATCAATATTCTTACCCGGACCCACTAATACAACAGATTAGCAATGGCAATATTACTGTTATGGCACTGCATTATGACAACTACACCAGTTGGAAGGGCTCCTGCAATACATACCATGTTCCAGACCCCTCCTGAGTTCCAGGAGACTATGGAAGGACAGAGAGGCCACATGGGGTTTACCCCACCTCTCAGCTCCCTCTTCAACATCCTCCTCAAACTTGATCCATCGAGCCTTCTCCCTCCACTCCCACTCCATGTCAGGGTCAGGGCCCACATGCAGCTTGTCCAGCTCCACGAACACCTGGGGCAGACACAACACTTACACATAATCTCACAAACACCTGCAGTAGACACCACAAATCCACTATGCCCAAAGGAATGCAGCACCTGAAAACTCCTGGCCAACACACATGGGATCTAGAGGGCCAATATGTAACATGTTTCTTTCCCCCAACCTCGGTGTCCTCTCCCAACCTACCTCATGAGGACTGTGGTCAATCTTCTTGGGTTTATGCAGCTTCTTCTCCTTGGCCAGCTTGCTGATGTGCACGATTGAGTGCATCGCATTGCGATGACGGTTGATCTTATGCCGTCTGATGCCCCGCACATCCTCGAATCTGTGACCTGGAAGAGTTAAGACGGCGACCATAGTGCAGTACCTCTACCATACCTACTGGCACACACAACCCAATAAATCAACTTCCGTCAAAAGAACACCTTTACCATTGCATTAAGAAAATACACAAGAATTTTCCTGCCAATGTTTCCAAAATGTTTGCATTAATATGTCTCATCAGTTGCCTTAACTTAACACTGGTTATGCAATAAGTGTGAGTCTTCCTTGAACCAAGACTTCGCCCTGTCACTACACTAACACCTAGACAGAAGACTTACAGAAAGGGATACATGCTTAATAACTGGTTACAAAGTTATGGCTGCAAATCAATCTTGCATCAGTCCATACCATCCTAGTATACCATTCTCCACACAACACTGCCATAGTGTCAGACTTACTCGGAGTCCCTCACAAAGACTGCAAAGAAGACCAAACACATGACACAAGTATATATATGTATATAAAACAAAAATCATAAGAAGTGTCCTTAAAGCGGATTGCCTGCCTGTATAGTCTTACTGGCCAAATTGTCCAGGTCGGCCTTTTGAAGCAACATGGCCTCTTCTGTTTCTGTGGGCGACCTCTTCAGCTTGTCCATGTTGTCCAGGTGGACTTCCGATCCACGCTGGCGTCTCATAATGAGATGTTCCTTACGGAAGTGCTCATGGTGGTGCTTTCTGTGTTTCTGTTTCCCCAGCTTGCTGTCCGACCTGTACGGAGATACGGAGATTGGAGACAACACATTCATATAGGACACAGGGATTGTCAACACTTATAATTCTTTCTTCTGACTGAAATCATGAATGGTTCATACATACACACTGTTTACAGAGAAGGTTGTAAAAGTATGCAAATAGCATGCATATCCAACCCATGTCGGGCACAATCTGTAGTCAGGTGGGTGTCAGACACGGGACAAGCAACATTGCTGACACTCTTGTTACTATAGAAAGTTGGGAATTCACAAAATTTGTTTCATTTTGAAGTATTGCTGTTTTGGAGGACCCAATATACAGCTAATAGTCCTGGCTAGAGAGATGTCTATAAAGTAATGTGTCAGGATTAACAACACTTTCATGCACATAAGGAAGAGAGTTTTATGGATGTCACCTTTTTTATTACGAGGAACACAATGTTTCTGAGTATATTCTAAGTTGACCTCCATACTTCTAAACGCTGTGTTCATCGTAAGAAAGAAGTTGACATCCATAAAAACTCTCTTCCTGATGTGTATCACTTCTAAATGCCATTCAAAGACTTTCATACACAGTTGCCTGTGCTAATGATGGCATACTGAACAGTCTATACATCATAATTTCCACCTGTCATTTGACTTCCGGTCTGATGTGAATGTTTTATTATTTCCCTACACCACAGTCAGGTATTTTGTGGAAGACAGAATCTGTGTTCACACACAGGCAAACTATGAAGACAGTGGGTGGAAGCAGTGGCAGGATCAACACTGGGTTCTACTGCTGCAGCTTCCACAAGGGGAGACAACTCACTGTGATGCATGAGGAGCACCCCCATCTGTCACGTCCCCGTTGGGAGATTGAGGCACCCACACCGGCTCCTCCTTTTCAGCCAGGCTAACCTCACTGCTATCACCACCTGAAGGATGGGAGAGAGGACTATATAAGAGATTAGCCATTAATTATACAGCAAACAATTTAGTTTCCTTTCAACAGTCTCAATTAAAATTAGGTTTTCGAAGTCTGTTTGTTTTCCTGAAACAATTTATTCCTTTTGACAAAATCCTTGGCACACCCCCAGAAATCTAATGTCCCTAAATGAGTGTGTCAAGAAGTATAATTTGTTGCCCCCTAAGGTGTAGTGCCATCAAATATAGTTTTGCCCTTAACTATTACAGTTTAAGCAAGGACATTTTTTGACATTATGACAATTCAAGAGCTAAAATCAAATACACACTAACTTATACACTCAATTTTTTCATTTTCTTTTCAGTACATACACTTTTTGAATTATCTTTACATTAGAAGTTAATGAAAGCATCACTTACAGTTAACCAGAAGTGAGTGAGTGGATTAAGCCTGAATCACACATAACACCAATTCCTTACCCAGTAAAAACTTGACCTGTGGGGCACTGTCCTTCCGCGAACGAGACCCACCCCCTCCGTGTGGTATATGTAAGCTAGCTGCATGCTGGGATACTTGCGGCTCGTCACTAACAGACCCATGCATTGCTGAAGTCACTGGTTCCTCGGACCCTTCATGCTTGACTCTTGCTGAAGATGATGGCTTCGAGTCACTTGGAAAACCCTTGACTTCCTCAGAGGGTGAAGTCTCTTCATCATCTTCTCCGATGAAGAAGCCTACAGAGATGCTCGGGACTGAGACGTTGCGGTGTCGGTCTTGGTCAGGTGCTCCGCCCCCCCACAAACTCTCCCTCCTCCTCCCTCTCCTCCTCGATGTCCATGTCATCCGATTCATCCGTCTACAGAAACAGATAATGAATCATTTTAGAGCTGATTTCTAGTGATCTTGGACATGAGTGAGTTTCCTTCACTGCCACTGTCAGCATATTACAGCCAGGTGAGTGAGTGATTACTGTCTAACACTGCATCAGGTATCTTGCAGCTATTCACATCAACTGGTCATATGATTCCAGCATACCTCATCATCTTCATCATCATCTTCATCCTCAATTTCCTCTGGAATTGGAGGCGACTTCAGTGCACCCTTCGACGGGAAGCTCCGCATCTTTTTCTTCTTCTTTTTCTTCTTTTTCTTGACTTTTGATGGTTTGAGTGTCTTGAGAGACTTATTGGAGAGCGAGCGCAATGGCTGATGCGTGTGGGGAAAGGACAGTCGTCGGTGGACTGGAGAGAAACACAGAAGTAAATAAGTGAGAAGTGTTGTCTGATGTCACAATCAAAATTATTTTAGTTTCATCACAGAGACATTTAATTAATTCGGCACAACTATCAAGTGTCTCAGCAAGAACATATCATAACATGGCAGCGTAATTTATTCATTAACACTGTTGATGTTGTTACAGTGTATCAGTTAAGATTCAGAAGTCCAAAATGGAAACAACAACATATTGACAATATATTGATACATCATCAAACAGAATTAAACTTATTCATTCCACAAACTGAATATAGATAAACACAGCCTGGAGGTTCTGGACAACAAGGGGACACAACTCTGTACCGACATGTGCAGTACCTCAGACGTCTGCTCTATAGTGACCCCTGTACATGCAAGAAGTAAAATGGGTGTTGGCTCCCTGCCTACCTGCATAGTCATGTTCATCAAAGTGCCTGTCTGTGACTGTCACCTCGCTGGGTCGACGGTTTCTGTCGGGGACAACATTTGACGAGGACAACTCATCGATGTCAAACCTCTTCGGCATCACAAACATCTTCTCCACCTCGTCATGAAGGAAGGAGAGGTGAGAGACACATTCACCACGGTCCATCTCACGGATAAACGATAACTGTGGATCCCGGACCGACTGTGCTGCCTCAGTCTCATACTCCTGGTCCCCATTGCTGACGTTCCCAAGGGCGGAGTCGCTCGGGAACACTTCAGGCGTCCACACGATTGCCTCATCATCATCCCGGGTCAGGGGGATGGCTTCGTCAGTTGTGTGCTGCAGAAGACATGAGACATCTTACTGGACATTCTACAGTACGCACTGACAAGCATATAGCCTCAACTAAGGGCTGAGGTTCTAAGGGAAGTGTCTCTCTGAAAAGGGCAAGGCCCCCATTCAGGGCCATGCTTCTATTAAGAGCTGTGTCTATATTAAGGAAAAGGTGAAAGCTTCTAAACTGTACTCAGGGTTGGGTCACAGCTAAACATTTCCCCTTAACATTTGCATATTATTTTCACATAACATAATGTCAAAAATGTCAAAAGTCACCGTTCACCCATGTCACACTAGCTAAATATTTTGACAGATGAGCACACTGTTCAAGACCAGTAGCTGGTATGCCCAGTATGACATCCGACATGTCATCAAACATAATCAGTTGTACATTGGATACACTTTGCCAGGATACTTACAGATCCTGATACCACTGTCACAATATATCATACAGTCTGACATCACACATTTAGAAGATTTAAGTTAACTTTCATGAATGGTGAACATAAACCCCTTGCTCATACCTGCAGAAGAATTGCTGCACTAGAAAAGTTCAATATAGGATTCCCTTAAAGCCTATAGTGAATATCTCACATGTGATGAAAATCTAAGGGATTTCCAAGTGTGATGACAAAAGCAAACAGATTTGTGGCTATAATGTCATATAGGTCAGTTTGTAAAAAGGATTATGGAATTTTTAACTCACATCCAGCAGCCATTGATCCTACCAGTAATGGACTTTCTAAAACGTGTAGTTGTGCAATTGAGTCCTATCATGTGTCTGTCCAGTTAAGTTTGGAGAAAAGCAACAGGTACTGGGTACTTTCCCCCCACCATACAGCACAGATTCAGATAGATTCTATATCAATTGTATAAACAAAATTGCTTCCTACATGTCCACCATTCTGCTCATCTAACATGCCCTGATTGGCTAACGGGAAAAGAATAACATGAAATTAGTGGCTTGTTTGTATGCTGTGTTACTGCACTCAGCAATATTCCAGCTGTATATAAACAGTAATCTGTCATCAAATCTGGACCAGACAATCAAGTGACTGACATGAAAGCATAGATCTAATCAGGACATGATGACATGACATCAGTCATGTGACTGTGTCACCCATGGATGTGTGCCATGCGGATAGGTGTCAGGACATCTTTACAATATCACTCCAGCTAACACCTTACAGGTGGTACATGAGGTTATATCAGGTGTTATAGCAGTGGTATGTGTTAAGCTTGTCTCACATCAGTGGTACATCAGGTCTAGTATCATGGATATATAAGGTGTTATAGGCGTTACATCATATGTTGTATCATGTATCAGTTATATCAGTGATATGTTACATGTGATACATAATGTGATACATAATGTGATACATAATGTTTTAAGCATTATATCAGTGTCATATCAACTGTATGCGTTATATCAATGATACATTTAATATAATGTGTTATATCATGTTTAATTATCACGTGTTACAGCATCATCTCAGGCATTACTCAGCCAGGTTTAGTGACAACAGTGGGGTGGATGTTGACACAACACAGTGAGAAGTCGTCGTAAAAAGTCTGTCAAGCAGTCATAGAAACTATTTTTTCTGTTAACAAAACACCAGGTGTTTAATGACAGCATGGAACAACACAGTGAGAAGCAGTTGTACAAAGTCTGTCAAAGCAGTTATAGAAACTATTTCTCATACCTCTAAACACCAGATGTCACTGCATGGTTTACTGACCACTGGACACAGTGAGAAGTCGTGTCTACTATTAGTACCATTACCTCACAGGACTAATCTCTTCCAAAACTAAAACATCAACACAGCTCCCGACTGATGATGACTGCAGTCTGATATTACATCTTAAGTAAGATGCAGCATTCATATTGTACATTATCACTCAATAGATGAAAGGTCAGCCCATGTTTTCAGCATGCCTCATAAATGCTGCAGCATATACAACAACACAAACAATAACTAACCTTTTTTCCACATGCAGGGCTTGAAAGGAATGGTTACAAACAGTCCAACTATAGCCTTAAACCAGTTTGTTACAGGAATATGCATGACAGTAATATCCTGCTACTTGGTCGTACCAAGTGAGTGGCCTTTGAAGAAGTACCTGGTAAAAGCAGTCATCACTGTGTTCAGGTAATACATGGAACAGATAGTATCAGTAATAGCCAGTCGTATATCAGTGGGTTGGTATACACAATCCTTCACATTCATGTGCCATCATGCTTGATATAGGGATGCTTGGTCGGTAGGGATAGCCTAATGGTTATAGCACTTGTCCATCACACCTAAGGCCTGGGTTCTATTCTCCACAGGGGTACAATGTTTGAAGATGATGTCTGGTGTCTATACTCACTCACACATACTGTGAACTCTAGTCTAAGTAAAATAAACTGAAGTGCTGGAAGAACTTCAAACAACAAAACATTTGCACTGCACAAAAAAAAAATCTCAAATGAAAAAGAAATGTACTGAACATTATGTGCAATGCTGAATTAGTAAACGTAATGTTCAAACAATATTTAGACATGCAATGGTAGTGCACCAAGGTTCAAGCATGAAGAACCAAGTCAACACAAGCAATGGTTACCGTGTCGGAGGCGGTGACATCACCGTCACCCATCCAGTCCGGATCCTGAAAACAAATCATGTAACCGTTTCCTTAGATACAGCCGACACCCACTGTACCAACAATGAAATCGGGTTATTTCCTGTAAGGTAAGTCTGTAAATTTGCCTTGATGATGATGATGATGATGATGATGATGATTTATGATGATGGTGACACTCAATCATTAATGTTTGATTAAGGGATCTTCTAAGTCACACCTGTGTGAGGTACTGGATACCTATGCTGACCTTAAATCACCTTAGTGACAGGTGTGAGGTAGGGGATACCTATCCTGACATTAAATCCCCTTAGTGAAACAGGGGTGAGGTACTGGATACCTATTCTGACCTTAAATCACCTTAGTGACAGGTGTGAGGTACTGGATACCTATGCTGACCTTAAATCCCCTTAGTGAAACAGGGGTGAGGTACTGGATACCTAATCTGACCTTAAATCCCCTTAGTGACAGGTGTGAGGTACTGGATACCTATTCTGACCTTAAATCCACTTAGTGACAGGTGTGAGGTACTGGATACCTATTCTGACCTTAAATCCCCTTAGTGACAGGTGTGAGGTAGGGGATACCTATCCTGACCTTAAATCCCCTGAGAGACAGGTGTGAGGTACTGGATACCTATTCTGACCTTAAATCCCCTTAGTGACAGGTGTGAGGTACCGGATACCTATTCTGACCTTAAATCCCCTTAGTGACAGGTGTGAGGTAGGGGATACCTATTCTGACCTTAAATCCCCTTAGTGACAGGTGTGAGGTAGGGGATACCTATCCTGACCTTAAATCCCCTTAGTGACAGGTGTGAGGTACTGGATACCTATTCTGACCTTAAATCCCCTTAGTGACAGGTGTGAGGTAGGGGATACCTATCCTGACCTTAAATCCCTGAGTGACAGGTGTGAGGTAGGGGGATACCTATTCTGACCGTAGTGACAGGTGTGAACTCTTTAGTGACAGGTGTGAGGTACGGATACCCTATTCTGACCTTAAATCCCCTTAGTGACAGGTGTGAGGTAGGGGATACCTATTCTGACCTTAAATCCCCTTAGTGACAGGTGTGAGGTAGGGGATACCTATCCTGACCTTAAATCCCCTTAGTGACAGGTGTGAGGTACTGGATACCTTGTCTGACCTTATAGTGTTTGTCAGATCTTCAGTGTAAAAGGAATACATTGATAGTTTCCCTTTTAACGCCAACATACTACAGTGTGTTAGACTGTGCATGAAGCAAATGTGCACACGTAATTGTTATCCGTCTAAAACATGGTTAGATAAGATCTTTCTATGACTGTTTCTATTTTAGTATCTTCCTTATAATCGTTGTTAGTTATTCTTAGTACATGAGCACATTTAAAAAGACATTGCTTCTTTGACTTAGCCTTGCTCCAAGGCTTTACTCTATGGTAAGACCTTCAATGTATAATAAGTTTATCTGTATAATTGTTAAGTCAAGACAGCATAGGAAAAACTTGTTTTGATTATATAAAGCACAGGAATCGTGGTTTAAACCAAGAATATCCTGCGTGGTGACTTGTGAAAGTCTATGATTGACTGTGATAACAGTACTTTTCATTTCCTTATGGTTTCAGGAGATCTATTTATAATATAAACCATCTGTCAACCTCGTCAAATAGCCATTACGCCTGGTAGATATCACCATCCACTCTACTGTTAGTTATATCTCATCACAAGTAAGCTTGGCATCCATTATTCCTCAAGTCAACAGATCGTATGATGAAATCCATTAATTGAGATTACTTTGACATGTTTAACATAGGCTGTAGCATTACGCCTGTCATGATATACATATAATATACAGCACGACTGCCACAGTGAGATACCTGATATATATCCTAGATATAGCATGACTGCCATGTGATACAAGATGATATCTACCAGTCATCTGACGAACATAAGTTCTATTTCTTGATTTTGTTCAATTTCTAAGCTTCATGTCAAAATGTTACTCTCCCATCTAAACAAAAACATACACTTCACATTATATTTGTAACTAGAGTACACTTGTTCCTTGCCTAGGATTCCAAAGTTTCCTGTCCTTTTGATACTGGAACAATAATACTCCAGAATGGACTGTGTGATATGCCTGAAGATGAACATATAGAGGGGAGTACACTATGGTCTTACCTCCTCTTTCTTCCCTCGGTGAGCCATTGTCTGTCAGCTGGTGCAGTCTGAAACACAGAGGGAGCCTGCTTTAACATCCCCAGGAAACAATAATGGGACATAAGAAAGGGGGTTTACACACGAACCATGTGGGGATGAAACTCTAGTCTTAGGGATGACAAGCAAACACTTTAACCACAAGGCTATTCCCCACAGAGACACTTCCACCAGACATTTATGGAATGATCTCATGTTGACAACAGAAAACATATAACATTCTGCTAGCTCCCAGGTACTAGTTTGTCCAATCTAAGTTTATTGTACTTAGCAACACAAACACAATGTCAAGGAATACAGAAACTTATCTCACCATGTTAACATCATAATTATTGAAGAGAAATTATAGATATAATGACAATGCATACTAGGCAGGGGAGAACTGCCTTCTGATTTCAGTTTTTATATTGTTTGTTGTTTAAAGCTGCACTCCGCACTATTCCAGCCATATGGTCTGTAAATAATCGTGTCTGGACCAGACAATCCAGTGATCAACAGCATGAGCCATTGGGATAGGATGGCATGTGTCAAACATATCAGTGAGGCTGACCACCTGATCCATTTGGTGGCCTCTCACCACAAACTATCTTCTGAAGGAAATGAAACAAGTATGGAATATATAAGTATGGCAATGTTTGGTCACCAAGGTTTGAGAGAATGAATTGTTTGTGAGTTACTTACATAAGCAGTGACACAGTGACCAATATGTCATTGCGTGTATTTCCACCAAGAATATGCTGTATCTCTGTTGATGTATTCAGTTGGAATTTGGTGGTGATTCAGAAGTGATGATTTGAATGTAATGAACTGTGTGTGTTTCCACCAAGAATATGATGTATCTCTGTTGATGTATTCAGAAGTGATGATTTGATGTTCTGAGTGAGTGAGTGAGTTTAGTTTTACGCCGCACTCAGCAATATTACCGCTATGTGGTGTCAGTCTGTAAATAATTGAGTCTGGACCAGACAATCCAGTGATCAACAGCATAAGCATCGATCTGCGTAATTGGGAACCGATGACATGTGGCAACCAAGTCAGTGAGCCTGACCACCCGATCCCGTTAGTCGCCTCTTATGACAAGCATAGTCGCCTTTTGTGGAAGCATGGGTTGCTGAAGACCTATTCTACCCCGGATCTTCACGGGTCGACAAGCATGGGTTGCACGAGTCGTTTGATGTTCTGTTTAGCTACAATTCTGTGATCTAATACATGATTTCTTGATATCCACACAAAATTATCAATCTTGAAAATTCTAGTCGTATTCCAGTTTGTCCACATATCACTTAGAATTCCACAATCCAAGGTCATAATGTTCACAAAGCAGGGTGTTCATGATAATCATGAACACATCAGGAAACAACAGCAAGTGCATTTTGTGATGTGTGCAGCTGTCAGCGCCATTATAGTCAAGGCCTGGAGGTCACCCGATCAGGTTGAGCCTCCCACTGGAATACATGACACATGCTTACAACTTTCTCCATGTAATGGACAGGGCACTGATATAAACATATTACTATTCCAATAATAAAAACAGTCAGCCAATTCTGATAATACTGAGGCAAGTTGGAAGACTAAATTGTTTCACTGCATATTACATACTGTGGAAATGTCAGCGACTTTTTACAACTACGAAAACAAGATATCATTCAATATTCATTCTACAAGATACATGAACCTGTACAGCATGATACAGTCTGATACGCAGTTGGAGATGACTGGAGGTGGGGGCAAATCAAAACAGTGTGTCAATCTGTGGCGTCACAGTGATGGTGGCCCCCGGCCCCTGTGTCAGACAGTGTATGCAGCAGCAACTGTAACCTCCCCCCCGCACCTTCACTGGGAACACTTCACGAAGGGACATGGCCTACCAAACCCGGATACAGTTAATGAGACTCCAGCAAGACGACACACTAAACATAATACAATAGACAGTGCTGCATGGTGCAAGATCTCAGTTCAGCAAACATGTGTCAACACTGCATTTCGTAATGAGCAGAACTTGTTACGTATAATTCAATCTATGTTCTTTCAGGAACATATAAAAAAGAATTGAGCAAACATAACCGTGGTACAATGTACACATACTCCCTAGTAGAGGTGAGGTGAGGTGAAATTGGGTTTAACGTCGTGCTTGAGAATATTTCGCTTATATGACGACGTGCATGCGTGTGTATGTGTATGTGCGGCTGCTTGTACTAGCCCAGACTGAAGCTGGTTTTATAGTGCTAGCCCACTGAGATACCACGCCGCAGTGAAGCATGAATACCCCACTCAGACACATTATACTGACTCCGAGCCGACCAGTCCTTGTTGTACCCATTAATGTCGAGAGCCAGGCAGGGACCAACAAGTACCATATTTTAACGTCTTTCGGTATGACGCGGTCGGGGATCGAACCCGCGACCTTCCACTCTCTGGGCGGACGCTCTAACCACTACACCACGGAGGCGGTTACTCCCTAGTAGAAATCCACCAGGTTGTATCATTGTGAAACAGGTTTCGTCCCTGGTCCTGACACTTACAAGCTGTCACAAACTGACAACTGGTCCAATACGTCTTAAACAATGATGTTTACTTATGTTTGGTACAGTAAATCACAGGTTGATCAATCTCCCAAAATGTTTACTTAACACAGTTAACTACCTGTACACCAGAGAATATTCTCCGGATCACATGTTTGGTTAGTGTTGGACACAGGGCACCAGTGAATAATCTCTGGATCACATGGCTGTGTTATTGTTGGACACAGGGCACCAGTGAATATTCTCTGGATCACATGTTTGGTTATTGTTGGACACAGGGCACCAGTGAATATTCTCTGGATCACATGGCTGGGTTAGTGTTGGACACAGGGCACCAGTGAATATTTTCTGGATCACATGGCTGGGTTAGTGTTGGACACAGGGCACCAGTGAATATTCTCTGGATCACATGGCTGGGTTAGTGTTGGACACAGGGCACCAGTGAATATTCTCTGGATCACATGGCTGGGTTAGTGTTGGACACAGGGCACCAGTGAATATTTCTGGATCACATGGCTGGTTATTGTTGGACACAGGGCACCAGTGAATATTCTCTGGATCACATGGTTTGGTTATTGTTGGACACAGGGCACCAGTGAATATTCTCTGGATCACATGGTTGGGTTATTGTTGGACACAGGGCACCAGTGAATATTCTCTGGATCACATGGCTTGGTTATTGTTGGACACAGGGCACCAGTGAATATTCTCTGGATCACATGGCTGGGTTATTGTTGGACACAGGGCACCAGTGAATATTCTCTGGATCACATGGTTTGGTTATTGTTGGACACAGGGCACCAGTGAATATTCTCTGGATCACATGGCTGGGTTATTGTTGGACACAGGGCACCAGTGAATATTCTCTGGATCACATGGCTGGGCTATTGTTGGACACAGGGCACCAGTGAATATTCTCTGGATCACATGATTTGGTTATTGTTGGACACAGGGCACCAGTGAATATTCTCTGGATCACATGGCTGGGTTATTGTTGGACACAGGGCACCAGTGAATATTCTCTGGATCACATGGCTGGGTTATTGTTGGACACAGGGCACCAGTGAATATTCTCTGGATCACATGGCTGGGTTATTGTTGGACACAGGGCACCAGTGAATATTCTCTGGATCACATGGCTGGGTTATTGTTGGACACAGGGCACCAGTGAATATTCTCTGGATCACATGGTTTGGTTATTGTTGGACACAGGGCACCAGTGAATATTCTCTGGATCACATGGTTTGGTTATTGTTGGACACAGGGCACCAGTGAATATTCTCTGGATCACATGGCTGGGTTATTGTTGGACACAGGGCACCAGTGAATATTCTCTGGATCACATGGCTGGGTTATTGTTGGACACAGGGCACCAGTGAATATTCTCTGGATCACATGGCTGGGTTATTGTTGGACACAGGGCACCAGTGAATATTCTCTGGATCACATGGTTGGGTTATTGTTGGACACAGGGCACCAGTGAATATTCTCTGGATCACATGGCTGGGTTATTGTTGGACACAGGGCACCAGTGAATATTCTCTGGATCACATGGTTTGGTTATTGTTGGACACAGGGCACCAGTGAATATTCTCTGGATCACATGGTTTGGTTATTGTTGGACACAGGGCACCAGTGAATATTCTCTGGATCACACAGGGCACCAGTGAATATTCTCTGGATCACATGGTTTGGTTATTGTTGGACACAGGGCACCAGTGAATATCTCTCTGGATCACATGGTTTGGTTATTGTTGGACACAGGGCACCAGTGAATATTCTCTGGATCACATAGCTGGGTTATTGTTGGACACAGGGCAACAGTGAATATTCTCTGGATCACATGGTTTGGTTATTGTTGGACACAGGGCACCAGTGAATATTCTCTGGATCACATGGCTGGGCTATTGTTGGACACAGGGCACCAGTGAATATTCTCTGGATCACATGGTTTGGTTATTGTTGGACACAGGGCACCAGTGAATATTCTCTGGATCACATGGTTTGGTTATTGTTGGACACAGGGCACCAGTGAATGGATTCTCTGGATCACAGTGAATATTCTCTGGATAGCTGGGTTATTGTTGGACACAGGGCAACAGTGAATATTCTCTGGATCACATGGTTTGGTTATTGTTGGACACAGGGCACCAGTGAATATTCTCTGGATCACATGGCTGGGTTATTGTTGGACACGGGGCACCAGTGAATATTCTCTGGATCACATGCTTTGGTTATTTTGGACACAGGGCACCCACAAAGTGTCTTTACGGTTACCTAGTTTTCTAAAAATATAACCTACGAAATTGTTTCTCTATTGCTAAGAAAACTCATATGTCTGCTCGTCCATTGTATGATTCTAACCATATTATTGGCAAGTATGGTTAATGAAATTACTGTCAAATAGTGATGATTCAGAACGTTTCATTTCAAGCACAAATGTGACTCAGAGATGATGATGTGCAATCAGTCGTATTGTTAAAAATATT